TTGGACGAATATGGAGGAGGAGGGGTTTCTGTCGTTGCAGTTGACGTATTTCCAAAACTGCTTGGCACTGACACAACTGACGAGGCATCAGAGAGGTTATCGAAATGAGGCGAAGCAAGTTCCCGCTCAAATTCGTTCGGGTTTTTCTCAAATCGTGGGAAATCAGAGTGTTGGTGTTGAAATGCAAGCGTCTTTTCGTGGAGGCTCATAGGTCGTGGGGTGTATCTTGGTAGAGGAGCCATAGATAGATATGGTTCATCTATGCCGGGCGCATCCACGTCTCCACCGGCCCCGCGACTATGCCTGAAACCTGCTTGAGGATCATAAGGCTGCCGATGAAGTGTGGGAGAGTATGGGAGCTGTCTTCGGGTGGGAAAGAAGCAACAGAAGCTTCCAAGGAAGGACATCTTTTCAGACGATATATCTGTCGATAGGAACGGGATACCGTTGAATTCTTGTTGAAAAGAATAAGAACGATGGCAGAAAAGCAGTAAAATAGAACTTGGGTCAAGGAGATAGGAGAGTCTGGTGATAGGGCGAATGTTTCCCTTGTCCTTTGGCGAGAGCCAGAAAAAAGCCAGATCTATTTTTGGATAAACATTGTGATAAAGGACAACTCAAGGGACGAAAAAGATAAGGGGAAGCTGCACCAAGGCAAGGAAAGACGGCAACAAACAAGGCCAGAAAGGGATTTACGCAAAGAGGATCAACAACAAAATCAAGATTTACAACATGCACAGTGGTAGGATTCACGAGAATTGGACGTTGTTGATGCCTTCAAGGACCAGCTTCGTACATCGTGGACGTTTAAAACGTCTTTTCCCCCTAACAGTTAGCTACGGGATGGTTTTGCCCAGACCGACTCAGCCTCCCAACAGGGCGTGCTACGATGACCGTACATTACAACACCTGACGCGGCTCAAAGTGAAACTGGTAGTCATCAATTGGGCTGTTGCTATTGGATCAAGCGAGGTAATTTTACATGCGCTAGTTGTACCCTGGTAAGCTGATTTCGAGGCACGAAATGCGGGGATGAACTATTTATCCGAAACCCCTCGATCACATGGCTCCGAACTTTATCTTAGCTTGTCACGGAGAAACAATGATCCGTTGAATTTACAATCAACTTTGGAATGGAAAATTTGTTTCTACAACATTTCCCCTTTAGCATTTTGATTTCGCCCTTTATACCCACCCATTTTGCACAGTTTGGGAGAAGCGATATAATGCCTCCCTTACAGCTGGAGGGAAATGACGACTATGAAGCTATTGCCCGGGCTGTTCAGCCGGTACCCCGCCATCGCTCCCACGACCCCGCCAGCAATGAGAAGAGAACAGATCCCTTCCAATTCGGCTCGCGCTATCTCGAAGAAGGCGACGATGTATTTGAGTTCAACGCATGGGATCACGTCGAAACTGACGCTGAGTACCGCGAGTATGCGGAGCTTCAATACCTGAAGCAAAAGGAGTCACCTGTCCCCGAAGACGCTCGCGAGAAATACAACGCCAACCCATCCAAATTCTGGAACTTATTTTACAAACACAATACGAGCAATTTCTTCAAGAATCGCAAATGGCTGCAGCAAGAATTCCCTATCCTGGCCGAAGTAACGCAAGCAGACGCGGGGCCCAAGGTTATCTTGGAGGTTGGCGCGGGTGCGGGTAACTCTGCTTTTCCGATCCTCGCAAGTAATAAGAATGAGCGGCTTAGGCTGCATGCGTGCGATTACTCTAAAAAAGCAGTTGAAGTTATGCGCAAGAGTGAATACTATGATGAGAAGTATATGCAAGCGGATGTATGGGATGTTTCGGTTGAGGTAGAGGGAGATTCATTTCCACCCGGACTTGGACCAGATTCTGTGGACGTGGTTGTGATGATTTTTATCTTTTCAGCACTATCGCCCAATGAGTGGGGACGTGCGGTGGAAAACATTTACCGAGTTCTGAAGCCTGGGGGAGATGTGCTTTTTAGAGATTATGGGAGGGGGGATCTCGCGCAGGTGCGATTTAAGAGCGGGCGGTGGATGGGCGAAAACTTTTACGTCAGGGGGGATGGAACGAGAGTCTATTTTTTCGAGAAAGATGAGCTGATCCGTATCTGGGGTCGATGGAGTCCTCAGAACGGAATTCCCGAAAATGGGAGGAGCATCGATGCACGTAGAACATGCTCATTTCCAGAAGCGCCACCAGACGATGCCGGATTTGAAATATTAGACCTTGGAGTTGACCGGCGACTAATCGTCAATCGGCAACGGAAACTGAAGATGTACAGATGCTGGATGCAAGGCCGTTTTCAGAAGAGGAAGGTCGAAATGCATAATTCCAGTGCTCCAGAACCTTCTACCCAAACAGTTGAACTCCCCAACTAAACGATACTTTCCACGACCATAACCTTCCAACGCCGATATCCCCTAGATATCCGTTATGGATATAGAGTCGCGATTTGGCAAACCTTGTACCACATGTCCTCACAATGCAAAATCCCAGCCTGGAAATCATCCAAACGATGATACGTGAGGCCTTTGGGAAAGACGTCCTGATTCTCCATAGTTTTTCCGCAATATGGAAAAATGCTTTCTCGGTTGCCATTAGGGCCGTCTAGATCGAACCCTATCATTGGGATTTTCTTTCCGGGAAGAGATCGACCAATAATAAGTTCCTCTTCCTTTCATCACCAACCCCAACCGATATCCGCTTGAATCCGAGAGGTCAGGTAAAAATGGTATATTCACCAATGCACAGCGCCTTATCTCATGCCTCATTGGAGTGGGGGACGTCGACAGCCCGTTGGTACAAAAATATAGAATATTGTGAACAGCCATAGAGAAGAATTAGATCTAGATGTATAGAAAGGATTGAACATGATGTACCCATTAGTGCAATTGACTTCCTTGCTGAGGGGTTTTCTGGGATTCAACGGGAGGATACATTCGTCTCCCCAACATTTCCATATAAACATGAGCCCTGGAAGCACAAACACGCTGATCTCCATTCCACTCTGCAAATTCTCTAGGGTCGCTGCCAACTACTTGGGGTGCTGATTGCTGTTGGGAGGGCTCGTCTCCGCGACGAACGGTAACGCTGGAATTGCAAGGTTTGAAACCCCCGCTCCCAAAACTGATTGACTGATAATGACATTTAGAAGATAATGCCAGGAACTCTAATATTGTCAACAAACAAACGTGACCGAATTAAGACCAGACCAGTTTGGGCGGCGATACACGACATGATGGTTAAACAACTCATTCATCTCTTTGGGGCGCAAAAATGCCTCTAAATCTGTTTCAGCTACGGCTCTGTGATACGATCTTTTAAAGCACTACTCCGATCTTCCGGTTTTAACATGGGAATTAAAACATCCTCTTGCTTTCATTTTTTCGTGGTATTGTCTAAGTCTGGCTGAATAGGGTCGGAACGAGAATTAACTACCGTCGTAGCCACAATATCAACCTCATCACTGCCCGGATTGGTCCCCAGTGAGACAAAATATCCGGAGGTATTGTTTGTTCGATAACGGCTCCCTCTCCTCCAGGACACTCCCAAGATCTATAAAATCCTTGGCTCGCATCATTGCGTGGAAGTACGTTGGAATAGACGTCTGTGTTTCAAGGTCAACATAAATTCCTAATGGGATGCAGCATTTCCCCGGGAGGGTACCTAGGAACCTATGAAGATGAAACATGGATAGTGGGATCGTCTCTAGTTACCCTGCTGGTTATGGAAAGGGTCCTGGCAAGCAATCGAACGGGGCATCTTTTACCACTCCTAATCAGATATTAAGACTTCCTGGTCGGAAAAATTGGAACAAGTCTAGGTAAATTTTCATTTTCATTTTCATTTTTTTTGGCCATATGAATGCTCAATTTCATGGGCAGCTTGCAGGTAGTATAGTATTATGACGTCTTGACCCTAACTCCGACTCCTGAGGTCGAGTCTGTTCAATGAGTGACCTGTGCACGGGTTGGGATTAATTATCTGCAGACCACTCTGTACGAGCAAACCGATGCATTTGTCGTCGCCATGCCACAGATGTTTTCTGTCAACTAGCAGGAATTCAATGCCAGTATCTCCGATAGTATGGGGGAAACGAAGAGATACGATTTCTATCATGAAATACATCTTGTTGTCCCACCGGGAGAATACAGAAGGGCACTACTTTGTCTGCTCCCATTTCAAGGTAACTAAGTTATTGAGAGCTCAAGTTTGTGTAAACTGATTCGATCTTTTCCAAAGTTGAAACTGTGACATGCCAGCTCGCAGCCCTCACATGTTTTGATCTGTTACCCACTAATTGCCACATGCATTCAAGGAACCAAGGTCAATCCGGATAGATGTGCCCATTTATTCCCCAAATACGTAGGTTTTTCGGGTATAATTCCTCTCTTCTAACCTGTTAGATAGTATGAAAATTAAGATAAGCTTTTGTCTCAGAGCCACGTACATACAGTAGTTTACTGGCAATCATGATAATAAAGTTCATTGTAAGGCATGTCCACTTCTACGAGGAGGAGATTTTCTGAGAAATATTTAACTATAGCCAATAATATACGGATTAAAGAACTATTTGTTAGTCCACCTCGACATTTTAGCGTTGGGCATAATGGGGTACATTAGCCGTCTCACACTCGAGAACCGCGGACATCCGCTGCCAACTACTTTAACTGCCGGTCCTATGGACGATCGGATCTTAATTCCTAATAAACAGTTGTTTACTGATAATCTTGGTTGCTTGCTGCTATATGATGTTGAGAAGGGGCACCACATCGAGGATGAAGATATGGCGATTGCAGTTGACCACAGAAGAACACCCCCAATGCCACTGATATTATCTGTTTCATACTTCATTTGGTTTTTTCTTCTCCTTCTTCTTCTTCTTTCTGTCCGGCTTGAATGGTTTGTTTAGCCTGGGGATATCTTTGTCCTTGTCAGGCCCCTGGCCTCCTTTTGAGTCCCGCTGCATATTTCCTAATCGCAGAATTCCAATTCCTAGCTTGTTCGCGATGACACAGCAATTCATCCATGATGACGCTGCTTCCTCTCAAGGTGAGGCTCGCAGGTCAAAGTCAGGGGTATTCCGTGTGCTTTCAAGCAATCTGTTCTTGTTTGGAGTTGTCTTGGTATGTGAAAGAGCTTCTACTCGGATTCAGAGCACATAGCTTAACGGCGCATGGGTTCACAGTTTTCCTCAATTGGTGGCCTTCTTTTTGGTTATGACCAGGGCGTCGTGTCTGGAGTACTCACTATGGAGTCTTTTGGAGCTTCGTTTCCCAGAGTTTATTCAGATAGCAGGTTCAAAGGGTGGTTTGTGTCGACGCTGCTATTGAGTACGTTCGGATGCCCGAGAGAGTAGTATCTTCGGTGGGCCAAGCCAGATTTTAGAGCATATAAACTGTTGTTCTAATAGCGTTGTTTAGCTGCCTGGCTAGGTTCTCTGGTTAATGGACCTTTTGCAGACTATGTTGGCAGAAGGCTGTCCATTATCGTGGCAGTCGCCATTTTCTCGATCGGCTCTGCTATCCAAGCGGGAGCGGTTAATCTGACAATGCTCTTCATGGGTAATGGGAAAACTATTTTTTTCCTCTCTTCTTCCAAGGACCAGTGTGGCACTGACAGGACTGCGCTCCTTCATTTAGGCCGTGCGATTGGTGGTTTTGCTGTTGGGCAATTGACTATGGTTGTTCCTCTGTACATTAGTGAGGTTTCGTTGCCGTCAATCAGGGGCACACTCATATTATTTCACCAACGTAAGTAGATTTAGTTTTTCACCATTTGCAGTCCTCCAGTTCAATTATCCCGAAGTTTCTGACCTTGCGTACAACAGTTTCGATTACGCTTGGTATTCTACTGAGCTATTGGATTGAATACGGTTCAAATTACATTGGAGGGTCACACTGCACCTCCAACATGACACACTCAGGAGGAACCTCTCATTCTCATACCTTCGACCCATATCATGATGTCGGCCCGAACGGTTGTGATGGTCAATCCGGTTTAGCTTGGCGGATTCCATTTGGCATACAAATACTCCCTGCCATTATTCTGGGGGTGGCGATGTTTTTCTTCCCTGATTCACCTAGATGGTCGCTTATGAAAGATATGGATGGGGATGCGCTTAATACGTTGTGCAGACTTCGACGGAAGTCCACCGACAATCCAGATCTAATGACTGAATATTTGGGAATAAAAGCATCTGTGATTCTTGAAAACGCATTTGCCAGAGAATACTACGGAGATTTGAGTGGGGTGAAGTTGCATGTGGCGCAGGTATGTGGATTCTGAGGGCTTGTGATATTGCTATACAACGTGGATTTAGCTAATATTGTGGCAGTACTTCTCCCTGTTTAGCACCCGGTCAAGATCTAAACGACTGGCAATTGGATGCTGCATGATGTATTTTCAGCAGTTTATGGGGTGCAATGGTCAGTTGGTAAAGGAATCTTTGCGTCATTGATGTATTTATTGTAGACAGCAACTGACTCTTGAAATTACAGCGATGATATACTACGCACCTGTGATCTTTGGCCAACTAGGCCTTAGTAAAAATACAGTTACAAATCCCCAGACATTGAAAACCCAATTAGAACAGGAAGATCCCATTCTAACCACCCGGTTTAACCCAGATTTCACTACTGGCTACCGGTGTTTATGGCATCGTTAACTGTCTCAGCACGCTTCCTGCCCTCTTCCTTATAGATCGAGTTGGCCGCAGGATCCTGCTCATGTACGGTGGAGCTGGAACCTGCATCTCACTTACCATCGTGGGTGCCATCATTGGTCATTACGGATCGACCCTCATTAACCACCAAGCAGCCGCATGGGCCGGTATGATTTTTGTTTACGTCTATGATATAAATTTTTCGTATTCGTTCGGTATGTAATCTATCTATCTAATTCTGTTTAATAGTGAATAGGGGTCGTGGAAATCCCGAGTTTAATTCATATCTCTCTTGTAGAGAGGTCTATGCTAAAATCGACAAAACTCCAGCGCCAATTGCGTGGGTTCTTCCCTCTGAAATCTTCAATTCTTCCATTCGTTCAAAGGCTGTTTCGATAACTATCTCTGTGACATGGATGTGCAATTTGTAAGGAGCCGCAAAAGAGAAAAACCCTTGGACTATTTCTAATTATATAGAGGCTAACGAATCCCGAACGTTTTAGTATAATTGGGCTTGTCGCCCCCAAGATGCTCGAATGCATAACCTGGGGAACATATATTTTCTTTGCGGCAAACTGTTTACTCGGCCTTCTCTTTGCCTTCTTCTTCATTCCTGAAACGAGAGGAAAGGTAGGTTTTCTTTTTGTTATTTTTTTTTTCTTTTTCTTTTTTACTTTCCCATTTCTTTCTTTTGCTCTGTTACAATTTATACCCATAAGTTACAAAGCAAGAGGCTCACCAGACACTCACTTTCTGTTAAAAGCAGACTCTAGAAGATATGGACCTCGTTTTTGGTGATACAGCCGCGCATGAAGAACAGCGGCGTATCATGCAGATCGAGGCAGAATTGCGGGGAACGCCACTAATGGCCATGGAGTTGGAAAAGTCCGAGTTCAAAAGGGACTTGGTGGTCACACAAGAGAGCCGAGGACGGTGAAGCGGGGTGAGCTTTGACAGCGTACGGTGTATTCTTGAGGGAATTAGCAGACTGGTGTTTGAAATGCATGCAATGTCTCAGAAGGAAGTGCATAAATGTCAAAGGATCCCGGATACTGTAACTATGGTTGGTGATGAGAATGCTTTTGCGAGGTGGTACACACGCACATTATGTTGGTTTAATAAGCTTAGAGGACGAGATGGAGGCAAATATTTTAAAAAAAAGAAGAAGAAAAAAATCCTCCCTTCCACATCGCTGCGGAGGCCACGTCGTGTCCAATCCAAAGGCTCCATTCCAGCGTTGGTACCATCAGCTCGGTGTGTCTCATATCTGGATATGGCTCCCGCTTCGAGTACTCTCTTCTTGACCAAGATTGCTCAGCTTGCTCAGACTATGACTAGCATGGAAATAATATGAGCGCAAGAGCTGCATTGAGGTGCCAAAGTTCTTGTTCTACCTGCCACCATATCCTTTATCCTCTTTTCCCCGTCCAGTGTGATTCTCCTCAGTTTTGCTGATGCTGCAATAGCTAGCTGCCTCCCTTGCATGCGGAGGACAGTGGTAATAATGGGTATTGATCTAGTCGTTTGGGTGATTCGCTGAGCTGCAGTTATTTCTATAGAAAAAACTGAAGGGAGAAGAATGGAAGAAAGGGGTAAAAGCAGGCATGAATTCGATGCACTGTATGTGTGTATGAACTGGTTTTCCTTAGGATTGAAAGAATTGGACTCCTATCTATCGGCGTTTAGGGGGGAGGAAAATTGGTTTGAATAGAAAGCTTTTGCACCACCCGATGTCTCTTGGACTTCATCCGCCCTGGGAGATATTTGGGAGGGCAACCCGAATCAGTGGATGCTGCACGCTGTAGGTGCCCATTCTCTACTCTGGCCATTCTCTTCTCTGGCCCGGAAAGACATTTGCGCACAGGCTACATGAAAAGGGACTTTGTGATTTTCATCCTTTTCAACTTCTATGGTATCATTTAGCTTTTCTATGTTTTTGTATAGTACAGCACGCGCCAAAAAAAAAAAAAAAAAGCCGACTGCAATATATGAACAGAACAGAACACGGAACGTGTAAACCTAGGTAGCCTTTTTCGCCCCCTTCTTCTGCTCTCAGTCCAGACATAACCCATCCATAGCTGTTTTAAGCCCATTCGGCAGGTAGGTACTATACCAGGATGTACCGGTAGATAAGTTGAAAGAACTTAGCTATGGAGGACGCTCGATGCAAATGCGCAGTGATGATATGCAAAGATTAACCATGGGCACATGCAGCAGGAAGACCATGCAAGCAAGGCATGCTGTGTCATATGTCACCAGCCGTCCTTCACAGGCGTGGTTTGTCCTGTACCTCGCAAACAGGCCGAACCAGCTGTTGTGGAAGGGGGCTTTGGCCTTATCTTCTTCCTTTCCTTTCCTTTCCTTCTATATATTTGATTTCTTTCCGTTTCCGTTTGTTGAACAAACGAATGAAGGGAAAGTTTTTTGTAACAGGCAAAAAGAAAGGTCGCGTTCCTCTCCTTCAACAAAGTCAAATCGTCAAAAAGCACACTTTTGGTTCGAGCGACCTGTTGAACCCGCTCGGCATCTCAACTCAAAAGGCCATATGCTACTTGGGTGCATCGGCTGTGAGATGCTAGCGGGTATATTGAGTTGAATCTGGCTTCCAAATTCTCTTCAGTGCGTTTCATTTTCGACCCTCCTACTATACGGACAAAGAGACGAAGAACGCAGATAAACCATACAAACAAGGGTATAGCTATCATCTACACCACCAAAGTCGGACACTCCCCCTCAGCCCTTACAAACGCCCCTGTAAATAGATCCTGCATAGCGCCATAATGAAACAGAATTCCGCCGAGCACAGCAACGTGCCAAATATTGTGGCTGCCTCCAAGGTAGTCGAAGAAGCCCGGATGCCAGCGCTCGGGGATTTGCGAGGCATACACCAATGCGCCAAGCAGGTACACGCCCAGAGATTTCAGTAAGGGTGCGTAGAAGTACAGAGACCATCCCAAACTCCTTGTCAGGCTCAGTTGGGCGATTGGAGCGAAGCCAGTGGCTGCTAGGGTTACGTAGAAGGCCACACGGGCCCAGGCCATGTCTGAACGGTTGAAGGTAGGGTGCCAGGGGAGAATGACACCGGCGATACCTAAAGTGGACGTTGTGACAATATAGATCCACCTGGAGACTGGTTCGCAATAAAACGCTGTGTATTCTGTCGTGACGATGGAGGCGGCAACGAGGAGCGATATTCCCGTATAATCGACGCAGGCGAATCTTTCCATGAGCGGTTGTGACGCGATGCCGTTCATTGTATGCCATAGCGTACTACAGACGAGGCATTTGCAGGCTGCGAGGAAGAAGATGCCGGCAATTGCGACATCGGTGGTTGTGCTGGCGGAGAAATTTGGGTTGGAGGGGTAGAAGTAGAATGCAATGGCTAGGACGATGATCAGGCCAATGAAGTGCGACCAGATGTTGAAAAGCTCATTGGAGAACGTGAAGACGGACGTTACGCATTCGATCTTGGACGTTGTGAAACGGTATCCCTGCAAGATGTGCGGGTTGACACGCCAAGGGTGTGGTAGGTCTGAGTAGTGAATTAGACGTTGTTCCTTGGCGAGTTGGATGGCACGTTCGATTTTCTTCTGTAGAGCTTCCCGTGCGTGCTCAATACTTTCATCCATGACTTCGCGCGCATGTGCTAGGCTTTCGTCCATTACTTCACGGGCGTGCGCAAGGCTAGGCTCTACTGCACGCCATCCGTCATCCAAAGTGCTATATAGACCCCGATCGCGCACTGACTGGGCAGCCAGCTCGAGCTCACCCAGGAAATTCTCCATCAGACGCATGCTGGCATGAGCTTTTTGCTCGAAGGTTTCCTTGGTTGCCAGGACCTCATTGTAACGATCCTCTAGAGTCTCTACCAGGATCTTCGCCCGTCGTTTTCCGCTTCCCATCAGTTCTCCCGAAGCATGGGAGCAGGAATCCCGAACAGAGAGTAGGGCGGCATACCCTCGTTTTAATCTTGCATCGATGTGTGTCATGTGCGATTGTCGATATTCCTCTAGCCATTGTAACCGGCGCTCCATTTCCGTGAGAAATAATTCGACCTGAAGAGTAAAACGAAAAGGAGTCGATATGAATCAATATATTTTGCTTACAACGGACTCTGTGACGTATAGAAACATATGATTCTAACTCACCCGCAAGAATATAGCATCTGCATCATAATCACACGATAATCGTCTAGCTGTATGAAAAGAATGTCTTCGCCGTGTGTTGCGCAGTAAATCGGCACGTTCATCGGGGACTGCAAGGCCGGACGCATTGGAGCTTTGTTTGGAGTCCACGTAAGACTCTAAGGTGACAGACGGGCCCGTACAGGGCATGGTGGTAGCCTTTGGACGAGCAGGAAACTCAACCAACAGGTCTCTTTTCCAATAAGATTGAATTAAAAAGGAAATCAAGGAGATATTGGTTTTTGTTGAGTTGGCTGGCGGGGCCAATGGGGCTATAAACTGTGCGCCGTGCCGGCGAAAAGGGGCCGAGGCAAGCGAGAATGTTATGGCAGCAGTCTCATATATATATAAAAAAAAAAAAAAGGTAGGATACAAGAAGTTAGAATAATTGACATAGGAGGAGCATGTAAGAGAGGGAAATGAGAGGAATTCTAGGCGGACTCGGATAGGTGGCGCGGACGGCGGGAGAAATATGGAATGGTGGCCTGTGGTTGGCGGATACCCAGGTAGTTAGCGGTTAGGCGGCGATCGCGATACCCGGGAAAAACAATGTAAATAGGGACGACGGGTTTAAAGACGAGATCGTGGGGTAAGAAGCAAAGAAAGAGATAGCGTCAGACTGATAAGAAAGGGAAAAATATCGAGAAAGGGGCCCAGGGGAGAGGGGAAAGGGGAAGAAAGAAATAATATAATAATATAATAATATTAACAGATAATCAATCAGCGGGAGAGGAAGATACAAGGAAGATACAACGGAAGAAGAAGAAACAATAAGGGATGAGAGAACTACGTTTTACGGTTTAGGCTTTAGCCCTTGCTACCAAGGTATGCAGCACCGATGTTTTAGTTATTCTTTAGTTAAGATTTAGCTGATACTTAGTTAAGCATTGGGCGGTTGCTAGGGAGCATGGCAGTGCTCTGCCACTGCACACGCCCCACACCCCACCCCACAATCATTCCAGGCTGGTAACAAGACCATACATACCTATTTATCTGCTCTCTTCAGCCAACTGCCTGCATCACAGTTACAATATGCTCTTAATACTTTCTCCTCTACTCCCCTGCTAACTGCATTCTTCCTAATATGCTCCCCCTTCCAGCAAAACTGGCAAAAGGCCCTGCTGGACCGTCTTTTTTTTCCCTGCTGTTTCATGCCATCATTCATCTTCACATATCTTCACATGGGCTCCTCCCCCTTGCACTCGTACTCGTCCATGTTCCTTCAGGCCTTGACACATGCATCCAAAACTGCCATTAGAGAGTCCATCAAACCGTCTGGCAAACTGATGGTATATGGAAAAGCTTCTTGCAGCCCCACCCAAGCGGGGGCAGACATCTTTCAACAATAATCACTATTTAACTACGATACACGTGGATGGCTGTTACGACAACAGCTGGAACGCCAAACAACCCTTCCAGTTATTCCTGTTCTGTCGGCATTCTGATTTATACACCTCCTGATCTTCATCTTTGATTGATATGATCGTAAGATTATTGCGTTTACCAAATATTTTAGCTGCTCTTGATAGATGTGCTCATACATGCATCCTGCCATCTCTGGCTTTGGCGGTGGTGTGGCATTGCGGATCAGGCCACAACTGATCCACGGATCTGATTTCCATTTATCGAGAAGGTTTTTTCTTTATCGAGAAATCAAATTCGTTCCCCTCCTCTCAGGGAGAAATTCAATTTTATAGCGGGATTACGGATATCCATGGCGAATTGTGACCGGTCAAGCATGGGATTGACCATTAATTAGCCCAGGGTATATTAGGGATCAACCTCTCATTATCTGTATCCCGGGAAATCATCCATGCCCGCCGAACCAGCTCACTGAACGGAAGTTAATGCCATTATATTAGTGCTTTTATTCCGCTCGTTGTCAGTTAATATCATGGCACTGGTTGAACAACCCCGATTGGGGATTCTCTTTACATCAGGGACGGACATATATCTGGAGGTATTGCTGCTTTTCAGAACCACCGATGTCTAGTTATATCGGATCAAAAATATTATGTTCCTTCGATCAACTGATGAAGCTTGTTTAATCCCTTCCAACTAACTGGACGGACTGTATGGTTCTGGAGTAAGGGTTCCTCGGGCGAGAATAAACTATAGTTACTCGGCTCTTCTTGTTGCCCTGATTTTCGCACTCCGAGAACAAGCCTCTCTCCCGAAGGTAACAACTTGTTCTTGGATTTTACCTTGCTGTATGCACTAATCAAAGTACTAATTTCGCGAGCATAAAATCACCGTCAAGGTAATGTAATGTTTATCTGAGATTCTGGGCGAAGCTGCCAGTAAGTCATCAAGTAGTAGTGAATTTTTTCCTTTGAAGCTTTAAGACCTTTATAGGGCCACTGGACGAGCACTGTTAGTTATATTAACTCGGCAAGACTTTTCGTTTACAAGCGAACGAAAACTTGGTCACCTTTTTGGAATACTATTTTCAACGCTTCCATGGTTGCTCCTTTGGGCTCCCTCTCGCAGGCAAATAGGCTTTTAACAATAGTAGATGGCCGTTCAACCTCAAGCGTAGGCAGGGAGAAAATCGCTGATAGAGAGGGGAGTTGTCACTTCTCACAGATGTTGAAAACCTCTGCCTCTTCGTTGTTGCTGAAGAAATGAAGAGTGAGGATGCCACAGGAATTGTGTGCGTCTTTAGGATGTTTATGTCCACATATGCTGAAAATTTTGTTGTACGAGCCTCTATGCATGTAATCCTCTATAGACGACTTGTAAATGAATAAATGAAAAAGAGGTCTAGAATACAGTGGTTCCAACCGTGGAGTTGATAGACGGTTGCCAAGAAATGTTCCCCCAGCTAACACCGTCTTTAATTCATTCAAGCTTCAACGTTGGTCAACTCTTGCGACAGGTTAACGCTCCGAACATTTCGCGGACAAAGGTCCTTTGTGCGGCCACAACCACAACCCACAACTTCTTCATACCACCTTCGAATACTCTGTAGCTTGTTGAATACATCCTTATACACCTTACAAGATGCCTGTCGACGACATCGTCATTAATCCCTCCCTACTACCAGTCTTTCAGACAAGCGCAGAAACCCTATCGCAATGCGAAAATCTGCTCGCCATGATTGACCCTAGAAGCCTTGACTCTCCACCATCGCAAGACTTTATCTTATCGGTATCAAAACAGCAAAAGCTGGTCTTTTCTCTTTTATCACAACTGCGAGGACTGAATCGTGACGCCATTCTCAACGTCAGGGCCACAAAACAGAAGACTGCGGAGGCGCGACAGGAGATCGATAGGCTTCACCTACACCTGCAGAATCTATACTATGAACAGAGGCATTTGAATGGAGAGATTGCGGCGTGTGAATCTTATGAGTGCGAATTTCCCCTATGTTCTCCTGTTTTCTTCCCCCCCAACCCATATCTTCTACATGGCACTATCGTTCTACGTTCTAATACAATGTTTACTTTCTGATACTAATATGCCAAAATTTACAGTCACAAGTATCTCTCTCTTCCCCTGATATCCGTCGAGGAATTTGTAGCCATTCATCCCGAATTGTCCGAAGCCGACCCTAACGAGCTCATGATTGCGCGCATAAACCACGAGCACGCGGAACGAGAGAAATTAGAGCAGGCCAGACAAGAGCTTCTGAAGCGGAAACAAGCCTTGATCGCGGAAAACAAGAAACGAAAAGATGACTTGGCCAATTTAGATCAAGATCTGGAGAGGTTTATCGATGTGAGTTATTTTTCTCCTACCTAACCTTCGGGGCCGTTTCATGCTATTTTCTCCGATATACGAAAGCGGGATTTCCATGTCTCCCAAGGTCCCATACATGAACTAACTGTACCATCACCAAACAGGCTGCGAAACCAATCCAGAAGATTTTTGAGAAGGAATATTGAGGATTTGTGGCTAACTCATCTGATATCTAGCATTTTCGGGCGTTGCTGGTTTAGGCGGTTTTGTTCTTCGTACTGATGTACAGGAGTTGTTAGCATTTAAAAAAAAAAAAAAAAAAAAAAAAAAAAAAAAACCCTTATGATACCCTTTACGAAGAGATATCTACTCCACTATAGGATAACTAGGGTCGATTTCACCATCCTTTGATATTATGTCTCCAAAGAAATATATATATATACACTACCGAGCTGATGGGCTGCAGCCTGTAGGGCTGAAAAAGCGCTCTATATATGTATGTTTCTCAGTAAAACACTTCAGTTAAAAGCCATCATTTACGATACCTAGCCACTGGAAATGAGACTCTCAGGAGCCTCAAGGTAATTATCAGCATTGAATATCTTACTTCATAAAAGGAGGGGTTGCACACAATACTGTTTCGTAAATCTGTCTGCTATGGGGCACAACCAGCCAATCGCAAACCACAAAAGTTCAAGCCACTTCAACTCGGCAACTCCGCAACCCCAATTGATCGACGCGCCAACTCACAAGACTATCAAGCAGCCCGCTTCCGCTCAGTTTGTGCGGACCATGAGCTGACAATGCGGAATAAAAATGGTGGCAAGATGGGGACTTCCTCTGTCAGTCCCCATACAAATCCTACGCAAATATCCGATAAACCAACCATGACGGCCGCCAGCGCAAAGCGGAGCCTTCCTGCTGAGAAACCAGAGGACATTCGCACTAGGACATTGGTGATATCCTCATTCTGGGCAGTTATAATATTTTTGGGGCTTCCGATGTGGTGGAAGACTACATCTATCTACAGGGCACGATTACCATTGGAAGAAATGAAGGATTGGGCAGATGGCAAGGTAGGTTTCGAACAATTCCTCCCCGTGCTGTCTGTTGAGACACATCTGGACATTCTGGAGACATGAGCTGATATTTCCCACGTAATAGGTGTGCCGCCCTGTTTTTCCTTTGCAGATTCTCGTTTATGCCCCGTCAATGAGTACGCCTGATGCCGAACAACTTATTCGCACTACCCAACATACTCTGGATGATTTGAATGATTTCTCCGCCCATCACCTCCGGCTCCGCCTAGTAGAGACATCACAGAGCTCAGGAGAGGGGGCAGAAACCGCGCCAATAGTGGATGCAGACGCTGAAGAGAAAGAAAATGCGGCCCTGAATGTCAAGTTAATGCCAAAGGAGGATTTGGCAGCACTCAGCTCAGAACTGCATCCATATTCCGAGAGGCTAGACATCTTTTATCCGGTTAACCAAGCCCCGTCTACTTCGGCACTCAATTCGCTTCTCGCTACGTTTATCGCCTCAGAAGTTCAGAAACTGTTCAATGAGGAGAAGGCAACAATCGCGTATATCTTATCGTCGAGCAATACGCTTAGCCCCTCGCTTCAATCTTCAACAGGCGGACAGACGCCTCCAGTGAATAACAGAGAGCAAGGAGTGGCTCTCATTAAATCAGTGGCTCCACAACTGGCAGAGTCAATTGCTCGTCGAACCACCCGTTCTTTTAAATATGCTGAAACGTATCATCTAAGCTTCTCGCTTTTCACCCCGGGACCCTACCCGTCTTCATGGGACGTCGAACCAGCGCTGCAGGAATACCTTGTTCCGCTACTGAAAACGTTTGCACCCATCAGCAACTTCTCCATCGACACACAGGTGCAGGTATATGCCAACTTCGCCCCGACCGCAACACAGCCAGAATACGACGAATCACAAAACGCCTGGACCTTACACAAGAAAGATCTCAGTTCCTTTATCAATGCTGCAGAATGGCCTCTCAGCCCTAGTATCGGCAAAGGCCCCACGATAAATTTCATCCTCTACGTCCCGTCAGCAAGCCAATCTCCCCTCGTCATTAAAGAGAACCGTGCCACCAGCTGGCTCATCCCTCAGTGGGGCGGGATCGTAATCCTCAACCCTCCCCTTGATACCTCATTAGTCCCCAGATCCAACCCACCCCATCTCGCCAAAGACTCCCTTCGTTCTCCGCTCTCCACATTCTCTCATCAACTCCTCACACTCCTAGGCACACCATCCTCCCCCGCCTCCCTACCCCTGCGTCTCCAAACCCTAGGACGCATACACACAGCCTCCCTCCTCCTCTCCGCATCCTCAACCATGGGTTCCCTATCCCACCTCACCCGCTCTCTCGCCTCCATACCCATCCCACTGAACGTGGCCAACTCCGTCTCGACCACCCTTTCGCATCTCTCTGCTACATGCGAGCTCTTGCGTGAAGGCCGATTCAGGCAGGCGTTGGCGACCGCGCGTGTTGCGGAGAACGAGGCGGAGCGCAGCTTTTTCGATAAGAGCATGGTTGGCCTTGTGTATTTTCCGGATGAGCATAAGGTTGCTGTGTATCTGCCGCTGCTGGGGCCGATAGGGGTGCCGCTGGTCATGGGGTTGGTGAAGGAGGTGAGGAGGTTCGTTCTGGCAATGAAGCAAAGGAGGGTTGCGTAGATATATATATATATATATGTATATTTGTTACGTTCTCTGATTTTTTGAGCCCGGATCTGCGGTGTAACTATTTCTATTATTTGTTTTCGGTAGATGGCTGCTTTATCGTCGTTGAGCTCTGATATCCAACCAATGCAACTTGCCACTTTGTTTTTGAAATATCCAAAATAGATTAGATATCATTTCTCTATTCTTTAATTATCTCTCTTTGAATCATCTGACCATCAAAAATTTCCTTCCCTGATCACCGATTCTAGCAACCTTGGAACAGCTCGCCATCCAACCAACCCTACATTAATTCTCATTCTCTCACACAATCATCTTCTCTGGATTTCATACCATATCTCAGAATTAGCAACGCGTGGTTAGTTCTTCCGCGCTGGAATTAAGCCTTATTGGCTGGTGCCTGAATCACAAACCTTCCAAGGTTCATTGACACCAGGATACACGGTGTCTGGCTCCCCTTTCTTTCGCTTTCGCTCTCACTCTCTGCTCATTTCCAGCCCACGATGGTGGCCCAGTTCCTCTTTGGCGCTTGGGCGTCCCTAAAGCCTGGGTCATCCTTTGTTTAGTCCAACACACACTCAGGCATAATATCAACAAGAGATATTTTGAAAGAACGCCTAGGTTGGGTCCGTATCATAACGATACATCTAACAAAGAAAGCTATTTGGCGACTTTGGTTTCTTTGAGCTTCTGATGCTGGGGTGTGAGTATGGCCTTTGAGATATCAGAGCTTGGCTGGTGTATGTATTTGTACATTTTTACGCAAGTAGATAGTGCGGTCCCTTCCACTCCCGCGGGACAAGCTTCATGCGCGCATATATTGATTGGTATCGCTTAGTGCCAGTAATGTAGAGCCAATTGCATTGATGTAACTCGAAACGCGTAGGTATATATATAGTACGGGCGGCAAATGATGTTCGAGTTCGTACTTACTTGAAACAATATATTTCACATTCGAAGGATGGATTTTGCCCAGAAAATTGTACACAGGGTATGATAGATCATTTTATAGAGGCTGCTCAAGCTTGGTAGCCCGTAGGTGGTTTGAAATGTTGGATTAGTAGGTAGGTCGGTCTGAGAAGTCAATATCTGACAATGGGGAAATGAGAATAAAAGAACCGAGCTGCAGGGAAATAACTAATATGCTGTTTTTGTTGTGAGGGCGACGGACTGCATGAGAACCTTGGAGTGGGGTAATAAAAAGAAGTTCATTGAATGAGGAGATAAAAGAAAGTGGGACAACAAGCAAAGAAAGAAGACGACAAAGAAAAACTTTATAAGTATATCGTAAATAACCGACGGTCAAGGCAAAAGAGTCGGTTGATATCAAAATGCGCCCAGGAATAGGCCGATGAGTATGACCTTAGCTATCTAGCTGCCAACCTAGCTAGGTAGTAATAGATCGAAGAGATTAGACCAAAGCATTAACAGCATAACAAAAGAAAGCGAGCATGGCAAAATAGCCCAAATTTAGTAAACATAATAGTAATGAAGAAATAAGCCAGATTGAAACCCCCGCGGTATTTACGTGAACAAAAATTAAGAATAGATTATAAACCAAAAAGCCAATATGCCCCCCAGACACCAGCCGCCGTACTCCAGAAGCCAACCTGCAAACCGAAAAAAAAAAAACCGTTATTCTATAACGTTTCGACCTTGGGAGATTTTAGATGTAAAACACCTAAAACTTGTCGACTACCGAAACTGAGGCAGAGGTGGCGTTTTTGTGACAGAGAAATATGGGCTGCCACCTTTGCTCTGAAATCCAACCCTTTCCATCATTTCAGAGAATGTGGTTTGCGGTCGACCATTTGCAACACTCGGGCAGACCCAGATTCCACTGTGACTCAAATGTGCCGGGCTGAAAACTTTTATGCTTTCCGCGCTTGGCTCACATCCAACACCACCACCACTAAAGCCTCCTCCTCCTCCTTTATTCGGAGGAGGCATGGTTGCAATATCTTCCGCTGTAGGCAGCGATCCAAAGAAACTTCTCACCGGGGCGCTGGTCCGTTGAAATGTCGATCTGCGATGCTCCTCGTAGTCAAGTTCTCCTTGCCGACGGAGGAAATCTGTGCGGATTGAGTCGTGGGCTGCAAAAGGGATTGGGTCAGAGATCGAGACTTCACCCTTGTCGAAGGATTCGCGGAAATAGCCGAATCTTTGAATGAGCGATGATGCAGAGCGTGTTTCCTGCCGATGTCTATAGAAGAAAATCGCAATCATGGCGATTAGGATGCCAGCAACGAGGCCGGGAACTAAGCCAACGGCAATTGCGCGCCCGGGGTACTTTGGTTCATTGGATATTGACGAAGGATGTGCTTCGTTCATATTAGGGAAAGCTTTGGGTGGGGAGGTGGGTTTGAGCGTTGGAAGATATGAACTACGAAGGATAATATACGATGCTTGGGTAGTCGACGTGGAATTGGTAGCGGTAGTAGATGACGCAGGAGTAGCGGAGTGGGAAGCTGTTCCTGATTGCGTCAATGTAGGCGATGGAGGGGCAGGCTGCGAGGTGGTGGTGGTCACTGGAAACGGTGGAAATGCCAGCTCCGGATAGATCACCTGGCAATAGAACTCTCCTAGTCTGTCCGAAAGACATCGAGTGCCAGGAGGGCAGCATTTGCCGCCACACTTCCAGGGCTCGCCGTTGAGGGTGGTGGTTTTAGCAGGAGAGTTTGGGTTCAGTTTGGGGTCGGGTGTTTGGGTATAGCATGGTTTTTGGCTCATTTGATAACACGATTGTCCTAGGGGGCAGCATATCATCGAGGTAGAGTTGTTCAGAGTAATGCATAAAGTGCCCTCAGGACAACAGAAGTTGGATGGAGCTTTCGGGTCTTCACATGGCGAATGGCCTTTGGAACACAATCCATTGCCACGTCGTAAACCCCCTAGGGCTACCGTCAAGGGCACTGCGGACAACGGCGCCTGTAATGACAAAATCGTAATTAAGAGGAGGACCGGACTCCTCAGAATCGTCATGTTGACGTATCAGGATGGGTTAACTTGCTCGAATAAACATCAGAGTCCGTACAAACGGCGAAGGGAAGGGACACGATCAACGCTGATAACTCATGAACAACAGAAACAGAGAAGGCTGAGGAGAAGAAGGAGAAGAAGAAAAAGAGAAATAGTAAGAGAGCAAAGTATACTGGATTGGATGGCAAGAAACAAACAGGACGAAGCTTAAACCTCCAAACGAAACATCGCCCGCCGCGCCTTTTTGTATAAAGAAACGAGAAGAGCAAGAAGGTCTCGAGACGGAGACATAATGCGGAGAAACCTTGGAAAGGGAAGAGGAGACCCTTTGTGAAACGCATAAACACCGGCCTGGACTATTTATGACAGACAGAACGCCACAGGAAAACCCCGCGACACAGGTTCCGTTGAAGAAAAGATGACGGCATGGACGTGAGCGGGGCCAATGTCTAGGCCAGGGACGGAAGGGAGGGAAGCTAACCCCTGGACCCAACCTGACGAAACACTCTGGAGCCAGCGAACCGCCCACCCAGGGTAAGGACTGAGACCTGGCGAGTCCATCCTCAATCCATCCTCAATCCATCCTGCAGCGCCAAAGACAGATCGCAACGGGCCCTCATAGCCCAAGGACCAGGATTGTCGGGCGTGTCAAAACCAACGCTGAAGCAACGGGTTGGATGTTGGGGTGGCTGAAACGGCGAATCGAGCGATTTTGGCTGCCCAGCGGGGTGATCAGTCGGGTGAGATCGACAGTAGTCATTGGTTCGATTCAGCATCCTTACCTCATCATGTTTTAGCTAGTTAGTTAACTGGCTATGGTTAGTTTTCCTGCAGTTAACATCCAAAACAAGCACAAGACGTCCCCTCGCTCTGATTGGGCGGGGGCGGGGGGGTGACGCGGTAGGTGAAGGGAAAAGGTGTTGTTTTGCAACACAAGGGCCAAGTTTTTCGCATTTTCCTTGCAGGTGGTAGTAGTAGTAGTAGTAGTAGTAGTAGTAGTTAACTACCTCATTGCCGACCGCCAACTCCTCCACCACTCCAACCAGACAAGGCGAGGGGAGGTCACCACTAAATGTAACATGCTGGCAAGAATATCATGGGGAGGATAATCTCAAAACTAACCAAAGGTTGGAGGTGGCACGTGAAGAACAGTCGGCTCGGGGCCGCGACGGTGGGTTGATTCGAGAGTTGCAGCAACCAACTTAAAAAGAGTTCAAGTCACCAGTTAAGTTAGTTAGTTAGTTAACTAACTAATTGACAGAGTTAGGTAAGCCACCAGTCACCAGTCATCGAGCGGATCAGCTGTTGAGGCTGTGATTGGCTGCGCGGCACCCTGGGGCGCTATGCCTGAAACACACTGGTGTCTTGGCACCGAAGAAATATTTCCATCGCAGACTCGGACTCGGAATCCCCGTGACCGCGAGGGACAACCAGCCCCAGCAACCGAACATCTCTTTTGACGTTTGGGATTGAGACGGCTGAGGTTGAGATTGGTATTGGCGGATAAAGGTTGGCTGGTTGAATCCGGTTTACCACGTCGTCCTACGCTCCCTTCCCAATCAACCCGGCGATGGTTCGAGACTGAAATCCTAATTCTTTTTTTTTCTCCGTTCATGATATTACAACGCTCGCTCCGGCCGCAGTCCGGTCTGCGCGCCGTCTCCTCCTCCTTGGTGTGCTTCCCTCCGTCTCCAAATTCGTGCCACATATGTTGTTGTATTGCTAATAATGCTGGTCCTGCCCCTGTAGCCCTTCCTCCGAACACACCCTCAGAGTCGATCAACACACTATGTACCTCAATTAGGGCACGATAGCGCCTTCAAGAAACATGGAATCCCCGATCTCCTCTCGCCGCAGGGTTTTGATCTATCATGGACTCAATACCAGGGTTTCCTGATCAACAAACTGAATCTTTTAACAGCAGGTATTTCAGTTTTTGTCCAATGGCCAGTGAGGAAGCTGGATAAGAGGGAAGAATGATATATATATATAGAAAGAAATAAATAAATAAATAAAGAAGAAGAAAAAGAAAGAAAACCCTCAATTGCCGATTTCTGGGTCTGATGTGTGTTGTGCTTAGGGACTCCTGATGAATCTGCAACCCCCGGTACACTGCTAGTCAAATATGCCCGCGATGCCAGCATGGCGTCTGTTTTCAACTACGCCTCCATGGCCCACAACAACCACTTTTTCTTCAATTGTCTTGTCAGTGAACCCACCTGTGCCTCGAAATAATGGCAATCGCTACCCGGTCTAACCAAATTACCATTATCGTAAATAGGCCCCCCAACAAGTCCCCATCCCCGAACACATCTCCAATGCCATCAACGATTCCTGCTCGTCCGTCGAGTCGCTCAAGGCAGAATTCCTCGCCACCGCCAACGCCATGTTTGGTCCCGGCTTCGTCTGGCTGGTTAAAGTGAAGGATACCGGCCAGTTTAAGATACTCTCCACCTACATTGCCGGCTCTCCGTATGCTGATGCCCACTACCGCCGCCAGCCCGTCGACATGGCAACCCAGACCACCGGCATCACCGGAGGAGAGAACCTGCAGCAGATCAGAAGACTCGCCCCAACTAATCGAGTAGGCTCAATGGGTGCCTATTCTCCTCAGAAGAAAGTTATGGCACCCGGCGCCATTGACGTTCATCCGATTCTGTGCGTGAACACTTGGGAACATGTATGGCTTCCCGACTGGGGTGTTGGAGGCAAGCCACAATTCCTGGAGGCATGGTGGAATAGGGTTAACTGGGACGAGGTGGCGCACAATGATTCCAAATGTGGGTCATTTTCGACACGCGCTACCTCTGCGAGATCTTCTTTCAGGAAAAGATCGAGGATCTGATTGATATTTCAGGCAAACATAGAAAAAATAAAAAGAGGAAAAAGGACGGGGACGATTGGATTCTATCGTTCTGTGTTTCTGTATGTCTGTCTATTCTGTATTATATATATATATTCATCTATTTTTCTTTTCCTTTGCATTTACATATACACCCAGCATGTCATCTATGCTATTAGAGGTAGGGAAATATAGACGGGTATCAATCAATGTCTCTTCCCCTTTATGGCCAGTAAACCGCGATGCATGCATCTCTCTGCATATCATCCCCAAGCCCGAACTACCCGTCTAATATCCAAATAACCCATCCCGAAAATCCCCAATACACGCCCAGACAAAACCTACTTCGCCATATCCAACTCCCTCACCCTTTTCTCGAACGCCTCTATCATCATGCCCGCCACCTGACTCTCCACCGCCCCCATCATCGCCGCATGCATCGCACTCCGAAACTGAAACCTGACCTCCAACACAACCTTCGTCTCCTCCCTCCCTCCCCCTATCCTGACATGACCATGACCATGACCATGGTCCCTCGGCCTCAGTGGCTGGAGCTTCCACAACGTATCCAAATATTCAAACAACCCACCATCCCCACCATCCCCACCCCTCCCGCTCCCATTCCCATTCCCATTCCCATTCCCATTCCCACCCCACCCACTCCTCGCACCCACCGTCCACCGCTCCCCATCACACTCCACCCGCGACACAAACGTCTCGCTCAACGGGCCATATCCGACCGTCAAGAATGCGCTGGTGGGGTATCCAGTCTCTCCGTCGCGGGCGGTCACTGTCGATGCGGTGAGGAATGGCAGAAAGCGTGCGTACGAGTCTATGTCTGAGATTGTGCGGAAGAGCGGCTCCGGGGGGAAGGGAAGGTTTCGGGCGGCCGTTAGTGTTCGCGGCGGCGGTGGGTAGAAGGCTGTCGCGAAGGTTGGGAGATGGAAGTTGTGGGAGGGTGGTTTTGTTATGGTGCCGGTGCGCCGGGGGGGTTGTTTGGGGAGGAGGAGCAGGCGCAGGAGGGGGCTTGGTGGGTGCATTTTTTTTTTTTTAAATTATTTATTTATTTAATTTAATTTTTTTTTATATTTTATATATATATATATATATATATTTTTGGGTCGCCCTCCTCTTTCTTTTCCAGCGGTGATAGCGGAAGGGTTTGGAGGGGAGCTTTCGTTTCTGTGCTTTGTAGAGGAGAGGTGGGCAGGGTGCCGAAATTACTCTTTCCCTTCCCTCTGGCTAGTTAGTTAACTGTCGCATGGTCGTTGCGCGGACGATAGTTATAGGCTGGGTGTGCAATGCGATTACGGGGATTCGATACACGGCAGGATTTGGGGTGGTCGTGTGAGACTAAACAAAAAGTATCTATCCTATTCGATGTTTGTAGAGTTAAAAGTTTGCTTTTATCAAGTGAGCGGAATACTTTAACTTGGTGCTGATTTGCCCATTCTTTTCCTTTCAAATTCAGTTTAAATAGCTAGATGCTGATTTTGAAAATTTTCCGGATTAAAGATTCCCAGATTTATTTAGTTAAAGATTCAATCGAGAATAAACCTCCATCTATCCATCTTCAGCTTCTTGGAATTATTCATGTCATTCCTGCCATGTTTACTAACAGAGTATACTTCTCTTCTTAAAGGAGGGACTAGGAATTACATGCGGATATCTTATCGATCAACCTGAGAGGGCAAACAAAAATGACAGAATCAAATTGTTGCCCAACTAGTTAACTAAGTTAAACTGACCTAATTAATAAGTAACTAACTAGTGAAGTCCAATGATTATTTAACCAGTTAACTAGGTGCCTATAACTAATAGTTATACGAGCCAACGGATCAGGGGAAAAGCCCATCGGCACACTCCCGCCACATTCTCCATTTCCACAGCTGAGCTTTCAACCCTCTGGCTCATCCAAAGGCCCAACAAGACGGAAACTCATCCTAAACCCTATGCAACAATATCTGCCTTCATTGACACAACCCCACTAGGACCATAAATATTCACCTTCCCACCTTTCCCTTCCCCTTCCTCCAGCACAATCCTATACTCCTCCTCCGCATACAGCGGGCTGGTCGCCCTGTACTCAATACACTCAGGAACAAGAACCTCTTCGGCGCCTGTTAGCTTGTCGTTGCCATTGCCACAGGTTGAATTCCGCTTCTTCTGTGCACCACGCACATCCCGCCACAGGTCTAACATGCAAATCAAATTGAGCGGGCCATGGACGACTAGACCGCGGTGTCCCTCGACGGTTTGAGCCCAGGGGAGTGAGTAGTGGATTTTATGGCCGTTGAATGTCAGTGCCGAGAAGCGGAAGAGAGTTACTGCTGATTGGCGGAGGGTGCGGGTGTGGGTGGTAGTGTTGTCTTGTGTGGAGGTTGAGAAAGTTGGCGGTACTGTTGGTGGGCGGTTAAAGGAGATGGCGGGTGGGGCGTTGTCGACTGTTCGAGGAGTTGAGGTTGACGATGGCATCTTGAGAGCTTCTCGGAATACCCAGTTTCTGTAGGTTATTCAATGGTTAGGATTTGTTTATTATTTAGCTTTTTCTTCTGTTCACGGAGAGGAGATCTAGAAGGGAGATTTATGATCCCAGCTTTAGCTTTGAACAGAAGTTCGTATGATGTGAAACAGAAGAAATAAGACGAAATGATGAGAGGGAACAAAAACACAACCCCACGAAACAGAGAAAAAGTAAGCACACAAAACAAATCATCAAAGGATATATATATATAAAACTCACCGTCTATCCACAATCGCAACGCCCTTCTCGTTTTCAAAAATCTTCTCCACACCAACAACCACCATCTCCTCCCCGGTCTTCCTCACAACTTTTGCCTCAGCAGTCAACATCCGGGTGGTCTCCCGCACCTCCTGACCAACCCTTAACAAATTCACCTTCCCATCCACGCCACGCGGCCACCGCACCTCACCGCCAGCCCACATGCGTCTCGTAAACGGAGCATCGGGGTTATATGACACGTCGGTGCCGTCAGCTCCCAGCTCACCTTCCAAAAATGCTGGGGTGAAGTATACGAGATGGTGTCCGGGGGGTATAGGGGTTCCGGCTTCTGGGGGTGCGGAGTTGGATATGGAGGGGTTGCCTGGATATATCGAGGTGCGGTTTAGCGTGAGAGAGAGAAGCTGAAGTTGGTTGGAATCGAGGGTTTGGGTACGAGTTTGGGGACCGAGGGATTGGTAGCGGGAGATGAAGTTGGAGGCTATGGTTGACGCCGATCTGTTGGAGAAGGCAGATCGTGACTGGGGGAGGGGCTTGGATGTTGGTAGCTGTTGCGATGATCGGTTATATGTGATTCTGTGGCCTAGACATATCCTGGGGGCGAAGGAAGGGTGGAAAGACAAGCGTGTAGAAGTGGCCGTGACGTTTGATCGGGACGGAGAAAACATGGTTAGCGTGGAAAGGTTTCCAGTTCGAGGTGGAATCGAGATCCGGGGGTTTCGTTGATAGGTAGTTATGATGTATGTATCTGTATCAAAAAATCGATTGAATTTGCTTTAGCGATTTGTGCAAAGGTCGTCCGGCTTCTCAGGCCGTGGGAATGGATGCAATTGCAAGTTCATGAGAGGTTTGAAGCGAAAATTGCAGACTGAAGATGTTAAATCTATTGAATACCGGCGCCGGAGTTAAGTCAATCTTGGTCAGCTATAAAATAAATACATTTGGTTGGCCAGAACAGCTTGTAGCCGGTAGGAAGGATGAGTCCCACAGCGCCGTTTCCGCGGTCATCTTCCAAGAAGGATCGGGAGCTTCCCATGATCCCAGTGGATATTGTATCTGTGTAGTTGCTGTGCCGTTAATTGTAATAGTGGTATGAGGGTGCTATTGTGATGTCAGCCCTTGGTCCCTCAGGCTCGAACCTCGGGAGCTCGGGACTTGGTGGTTCCCCGGATTCTGCACGACGTAATAATTTTTGCTACTTAACCAATAACTCACCTGGAATGTTCCCCGGTTCGGCTCTCGGCATCCGGCATCCTATGGCCATGATCAGAAACACAGATCTCCTAAGATTCTGCGAATATATATGAATAGCAGTAAAATGCATGTTATCCGAGTAACCCCAATGTAATGTATGTGCATGCTATTGTACAACGGATATGTGCATAATTATTAGACGCGCATACGTTACACACAAATATTCGCAATACTTGAACACATGCGTGTGCCAGACGATGGACGGTAACTGCCACAGTTCCCAAAGTGGTTTTGAAGTGTTAAATCCCATATGCGGATCTTCTGTACAAGAGGATTAACAATTCGAGTTAATCCCTATCCTCTACCATCCATTGGATCGAAAACAGTTACCGTTTTGAGGTATATGTTTGCAGCTCGAAGGCCATGAGGATTGGCTGGGATGGTTCAGCAAAACCTTAATGAATCCATTCCTCCTCCCTTTGCTCCTGTTTTGCTGCTTGTGTATTGCGAGTTCGTTGTGCCTGAGATGAACAGACAAAACAAAGGATTCGAGTATCCGAATGATATCCTTTTTGTCTAACATGACCATCCTTGGTCCAGAGATGGGTGACGGTGCGGGCAAGCAATTAGTTAGCTAGCTTGTGCTGAAGCCTGCCTCCGATCAATGCCTAAGAAGATTGCAGTATATCCAAATTAATTACCAGGGCTTGTTTGTGATTGTCGAGTATAACATGGAACATGGGAAATTATTTTTCTGGGTGCTAACTTTCCTATTTCCGCATGACTGTTTTCGAAAAACGCCGTTCGCCCTCTCTTCCTCCTGTTGTCATCTTGAACATAAGAACCAGGCTATCCTGTGGTACTAGTTAACTAGTTAACTAACAACGAAATATTAGCGACTTTTAACTTTCTGTTCTCATCAACCTCCCTCCCATGGATACAATGATTTTGGGAAGATCCATAACAACCAGGTGGTTCCAGGGTTATATTAGCGAGATATAGAAATTACAAGCGCTGAAAATGCCCCACCACCCAGTTCATTCGAACTATCGTGAGTTTTCAGATGGCTCTAAGGTGATAAAGTCCGCAGGGCACGGTAAGAAGTTCCATCCAACTTCCAGAACTACTTCACGGAACAAATTTCCAAAGCGAAGAGACCGCTGGTTAAGCAACAGTAGAAGACAATTTCCTGTTCACCTGCTCATCTTGAATTCCAACCGTCCCCCTCCCCTTTTTTTTTTTTTTTTTTTTTTTTTTTTTTTTTTTTTCATTTTCATTTTCATTTTTGGAACCGGCAACTCTCTGGGTTTCAAAGGTTCTGGCGTGAACTGCAATGATGAACGCGAGATGATAGAGCAGCAGAAATGAGGAGCAGATGGTGGGTGTGATTATTGCTGCCAATCCGTTCACTGTACAACTTCGCGTCTGCTGCGTTGTCGCATTGAACGTGTCGTGGAGATCTGCCCTAGTAAAAACTACAACACAACTCCTATAGCCCCTGATTCTTCAGTGCTGAGCCTCTTCTTCTTTCATCTGATCTGATCTTCATTCGCAGCTCACCTACCATTACTCACACTCCGGATTTAATTTTTCAATCATACGTCGCAAGTTTTTCTTTCTTTATAGCCAGTATCATCTTTCCTTGTGCTGGTCTTGTATCGCTTCTACTGTCTCAATGAACTCCGTGCAGCTTCATTTACCCTCCCGCCCCCCTCCCTGTCGCCGCTCACACAGCCCCTCAAACGGTGACAAGATTGAATATCCGAAATTCTTGGATTTCAGCAAGGTGCAGAAGCCTCGACATCACTGGGATGGATCTCAGAGAGAAATTGTTTGTGTTGCCAGACGTTTCTACTCCCTGACTCTGAAGCAAGAGACTTCAATTTTTAATTACATGTTTGCATCGGATCTTCAAAAAGAAGGATTCCTCAGTGGCCTGCCTGTCACTACCCTCAACTCACAGTGTCATGACATGGTTCGAAACAAACACCCCATATGGGTTTCGGTTAACTCATCACCACATTCTCATGGTGGTGATGATGAGTACAGGGAAGCCCGTCGCTTGATTGAGATGGTTTGTATAGAGTTGGGTATTGAAATCAGCAAAAAGCCAAATACATACCCACAGGTCAAAGGATGCCAGCTCCTGAAGTCATTTTTCAATATCCCTGATGCCAAAAAGGCCGATGAATTGATGCTTGAACAGACACTTGAAACTGAAACTGAAGCTGAACTCGACACTGAACCGCAACATGAAAGAACCCCTAGTACCAACCTGAACTCGAGACGACGCACTCTGCATAAAAAACCATTCAAAGGAGAGAAGCCCAGGATCGTATACCGATTTCACAATGCACAGAGTAGGGGGATTAACAGTCCTAGTATACGTGCTGCAGTCTGGGCCACTGGTCCATCTCATATTCAGCATCCATCTCTCCTTGACCAGCGCATTCTTGCAAATCTGGCGAAGTCCCACCTTTCAAAATATACCATACCATCTCCATTTATTTCAACATATGCGATCCTCCTGCCAACAATTCATAGAATGTTGACCAAAAGCAACTGTTCAATGGTCTCAATTATAGATGCATCAAAACTCAATCAGCAAATACTATTTTCTGCCCAGGAGCTATTAGAAAAGGATCCTCTCAGCCCTGAAATCACCAAAGTGGGGTATTTTGGGTGGCAGGAGTGGTTAGTATGGGGGAGCATTTCCGAAGAGGCAATTGTCTGCACTATCTCTCATTTACAGCTTCTGAACATTGTTGACTTGAATCCTGACATTGAGTCTGTGCTTCAAACCCAAACAATCAAGCTTTATGTTCATAACCGCCTTCCACTTAAAACAAAACTCAGAGCTTGCCAGACAAAAGTCGATGCGCCACATGGCAAGGTAATTGGGAAATTTCTCAGAATGGTCAACCTTCCCCTGGAATATATTGAAGATGTTGCACTCGGAATCACCCGCGGCTGGCTCTTTACCCGCAGCCACACGAATACGAACGATGAGTTTCTAGGTGGAGTACGTCAGGGATATACGGAGTATTCGGCTTATGTGACACCTCCAATTACACCTCAGAAGCCAGAAAAGCAGCCCGAAATAATTGTGATCGATGATGAGCTCAGCAAGGGAGGGGTGACGCTGGACAGATTTCAGGAGGAACTGAGACGAACCGCAGAGACAGAACCCGAATCCGAATCCGAAACACCTGAGGGACATCATTCCGAGAGGGGTTACCAATGGGAAACCGTGGATGTTGAGATGAATGAGGGGAATGAGAACTTTACGAGAGTATTCGAACTGGACCGGGAGAGAGTTAATCGAGTGATGGGATGGGAGAACGAGTAGGATGAATCTAGAAGCTGTGAGAGAATGTGTGTGTGGAAGAGAAGAGTTCAATGAGGGATTAGTGGCTTTGAGTGGAAGAAATCTATTTGCTAGTTCTGGTGCATGATATGATGTTTCTCTGTTTTTCTCCCAGGCGCTTACGGAAAATATTTTGAAGGGAACTGAAGGGATGAATGGGGAAATGGGTTTTATGGTGGCATTAGATGGACATCTGATGAAGCTAATCGAAGAGGAGAATTTGCGAAGTTTTCGCATACGATGGTCCCGATATCCTGAATGTTAGGCTGCAAATGAAAACATGTTATCGCAATGCTGATGTCACCCGGAAAGGTCAACCTCCACAAGATGAAGTTTGAAATATTCCATATGGCATTTGACAACTAAACTCCTTAATATTGGCATATAATCCTCTTCCACATATGGGAGAAAACAAGACAAAAAAAACGCACAAGCCGCCCCTTTGGGTAAAAAATGGTTAAAAAAAGACTCGAGCTCAAGTAGTAGGTTTCTGGTTGGGCATAATCGTCTCGGGGTGCTTTCCCATCTTCTTTTTGTCCTTGTGCCTGTCCTTTCTATTGCTTTTTTGTTGTTTTTCTTTTCAAAAAGATCTGTATCATGAAGGCAGGTTCGTCGTGTCATTTGCCTCCTCATAAGCCCAGTTCGTACCCAACGTCACCCCTCAACCCCCTACCAACTCCTCCAAGACAAGAAGCATTTAGAACTTGCCGAATTGCTTGACGCCCTTCCCAGTGCGGGGAAGGACGCGAAGGACGTTGAATCGAACCTAAGGTTGGGGGAAAATTTTTGATATTAGCATGGATCCCTACTGATATCAAAGGTTGAATGCCCTTCTTCCAAGAAACAGCCTCTATGGAGATCTGCATATGATTCCTCGATGCTATCCATATTTTATTTCTTCTTTTCTTTCAATTTTCCAAACCAAGAAATGTTATAACCGCGAAATCAGATAAAGAAATATGATCAATCCAACACATACAGTTTTGCTGAGAGGCCTGCACTGTCCAACGGTGACTTGGTCACCTTCCTCAACACGGAAAGCCGGGGAGACGTGGGCGGCAATGTTCTTGTGTCGCTTCTCATATCGGGAGTACTTGGGAATGTAGTGGAGATATTCACGGCGGATGATGATAGTACGGTGCATCTTGGTTGAAACAACGGTGCCGGTGAGGATACGGCCTCGGATGGAAACCTGACCGGTGAAAGGGCATTTCTTATCTGCAGTTCACCGTCCTGAGTTAGAAAATGTAATTCGTTGTTGAAATTGTCAGGATGATTTTCGTATTGGTCAAGGGTGAAGTGCATAGAACACGGCATTTTCTCTGGCTTCTAGCAATGGGCCAAACTAGCCCCCGAAGACCGCGAAACCACGCACTCCACCCCCAACACTACAACTTCATCGAGAGAGCAATGAAATTTTCTAAAATTTCAATGGCCCTTGTTCACGTCTGGCGTGGGATAGAAAAAAGAAGCGGGATCCGGCTCCGTACCGATATAGCTTCCCTCGATGGCGGTCTTTGGGGTGCGAAATCCGAGACCAACGTCCTTATACCATCTCCGGCCACCCTTTCCGACCTTCTTGCTCTTGGACTTCTGCTTGGAATTCAAGAAGATGTGCGGTTGCTTCTGGAAAGCACGTTCCGACTGGACAGTCAACTCGGTCGCCATGGTTGCCAAAGATCAAGAATCTGACTCTGAACTTGCGGGACAGATTCTCTCGAGCTGGAGCTGGAAGGGGGAGAGAGTGTGGTGAATGTCGATCGGCGAGGTGTGTCGGTCGTCGAGATTCAAGGTTTTGTGCGGCTTTCGGATGGTTAATTCAATGTGGACGTGAAGGAACCGCGCTAGCCCTGAATTGGATTAGCGGGTCTCGGCTAGGGCTTGTCCGTTTTGTTTACTGCGCTAGTCCCAATCTGGAAGCTACTCCAGATCGCGTCGGGATTTGATAAGCAACGACATCTATCGTCAAACGACAAACAAACGAGATATATAGACAACAGCGCACTCTTGTTGTATGCGCGTGGTGCCATGGTGGGAACCAATTAGTATATATTAGTGTACTAGACTCGGAATTGCCCCATCCATCTTCTACAACACATATTCCTTCCTGACATGACTCCGCCCAAGAACGAGTCCGCGACGTCTGACCGCATTCGATCCCGCCGGTCTTTCGCTCAGATGCCCCGTCCAGGCATTGGACCCGGGGTCGATAAAGAAAATATGACGGCGGATATAAGCGCTTCAAGCAGCCAGAGAACTGTGCCCCAAAGGCCCCCAAAACAGGATAAGAAGCTCCGAAGTAAAAGTTTCGGACCCGGCGGTTTGGATGCCCTCAAGCATGCGAATGGCAATAGGCGAAAGGTACTTTGGGAATCCTGATCTACAGAGTCTTTTGCGATACTGATTACTCTCCAGTCAGCTGCTCAGTTCCCTCTAAAGTCTATCCTCAAACCTACGGTACCCGTTTCTCCCATACGAAATATTCCATCCTTCGAGGAAACTCGGAAGAGGATACCGGTTCGAAGCCCGGAGCGCAACTCTAAATCTCGCCAATGGAATGGCCCTAATGGAAAGGGCGATCAACATATTGGCACCTCTACCCCATCGGCTTCTATAGTTGGCACGGAAAATTTGGCCAATCCTTTTGATACATTCAATCCCTCGTCGGTGATGCGCCATGGCAAAATTGCGGTTCGCACGGAGGAGGAGCAGCAAGCTGCCGCCAGGGAAAGGGAAGAGAATGAACTGCTGGAACGTGAGAAACAGGCCATTCTAGAGCACCGAGCGGCAAGGCGAAAATCGATGGGTAGGCTCAACTTCTGCACTATGTTTGCTTAGTTCAAGGGGGGGTACCCGACTGACAGCGTTATTAAAAGCAAATCGTCGTGTGTCCTTTGCGCCAGAGGCCACCCTACATACTTGGAATGTAGTTGAATTGATTGAAGATTCCACGTCTTCTTCAGCCTCGAACTCCACGAGACGTGCCTCTGCTATCACAGCCGATCAATCCCACCACACTCCGAATCAGGACATGGATCTTACAGATCGCCCGACAAATCAACCAAGCGATGACCCCGATGCTGATGAGCACGACCGACTGCGGAAATCACGTCGTGGCTCTGGATTTACTAAGAGAGATCCATACAGTCCCGATCCCGATGAGGCAATCTCTTCCAGCCCATTTAGCGGGAGCTCCGCTGCAGGAAGCGATGATGTCGGTGAGGTAGTTGTGGAAGATGATATGAATTCAGATTCCAATACTGATGATGATGATGGGGCCACGGTTATGAGTATAGAAAACACAACTGAGCGGTCCGGTTCTTCCCAATCAGATGATTCAAGCACCCATTCTAGCACGAAACTCGACCAAGCCTTGCGACAGGCTGCTCAAGCCGCTGGCACTAAAGGGATTGACTTTGATGAAAATAGGGACTTGTCCATAGGATTCACTAATCATGAGATTACTGGGGCATTTTTACCTTGGGTTAAGAAAAGGGCCGAGAAGCTTGATCTTGATACGGAAGATTTGAGTGCTCGACAGGATCAGGAAAATGTTAACCCCTTTGATCAACCTTTATCCCAATATCGGCCTTCAAGCAGGGATTCTAGTGGTGGATTTTATGAGGATTGTGAAGCAGATGTAAGTATGGATATGACCAATGCCGTTGGCGGTATCATCCCAGAGCGACAGGATGGGACAGCGGTTGGTAAATCTTGTCGGAAATCTGTTTCTCCCGGTAGCGGCCGCCGAGATACGCTCCGTCGAACATCAACTGGCGAAATGTCACCTTTCGGGGACCAAACAATGGAATTTACGAATGTGATTGGTGGTATTACCCAAGACCGTTCTCCAATCAAGGTGCTCTCTGGAAGTAGTGACGTTGGAAATGATGAAGAGATGACGATGGAACTTACCTCAGCTCTTGGAAGTATTCAACAGGCTTACCTCCAAAGGGATGTACCCCACGAGGAATACCAGCGGCCCTCCAATGAGCCTGTGGAATATGGAAATCAAGAGTTTGGCGATGAAGCTGACGATGAAGCCATGGAGATGACAGGCGCTATTGGAGGTATCCTGGATCCCATTGAGGAGCAAACGGAACCCCTGGAGGACGAAACCATGGGTATGGATATAACGAATGCGATAGGTAAAATATTACCACCCCAGTTTAATTTCAATAACAGGTCCCAAAGAAGAGCTTTGATGGAGCTGGAGAGCGATGCTGGTCAGCTTGGCAGCTCGCCGTTCCAGGAGAACATTGTGCCTTCGCCACGCAAAAGCCCTGCTGTTGAACAGCAGGCTCCCGTGGTGTCTGAATCCGGCAGCCCGACCCTATCTGGCGTAAAACGCAGGCAGGAACGAAGAAGTATTGGCCCAAGGCAATCAACTACTCCAAGAGATGGCTCTCGTCATTCATCGCCCTTGAGAAAGTTATCGACCCCTTCAAATCGAGTGACTCCACAGGCCAGCAAACATTCAACTCTTGGAAAGACACCACCGTCTGGTAATGTCGTATTCAGAAGCGCATCTCCGAAAAAGCTTTTCGTACCGGAGCTTAAACAAGCATCCACCCAAAAGACTCCGACTAGTTCGAGTAAGCTTTTTCATCAGGATAGTGCTGGGAAGACTACTCCATCCTTCGTCCTGCGTCCTCATGGGCGGCCATCTAGTGGTCTTGGTATTGATAGGGAAGGTATAGGGTCACCGCGTGTTGCTGAAATTCTGGATAGACGACGATCCATAGGGGAAGACTCCCGGCATTTTATACCAAAAAGTCCAACTTCACGAGGAGTGAGATTCGATAATCCCCGAGAGATGGAAGAAGAACTGGAGAGGGAACAAGAAGAAAGAAAGAGAAGGGAAGCTACCATTGCTGAGACAGGAATCCGAAAAGAGCCGACACTTAATTTAAAGGAGCTAATATCCAGCCTTACCCCCAAGAAAAGTAAAGCCAAGGCACGCAAAAGTTTGCATGTTGGCGCAGCGATAGGTCTCCTTGGTAAACGGCCGGCGGAGCTAGACGAGGATGGCGAGGAGGAAGAATATACTCCCAAGCGCCTCAAGGGCCGCGAAGCAAGTCCCGTCAAGAGCATCAGGCTCCCCGCTCCTCTCTCAATGGACGAAGCTGTTAGACGAACCACTCGAGCATCAAGCTACAATGGCCCTGAATCATCCCCATCGCACGTGTCAAGTACAACTCCGAAAGGAGCTCCTCGTACTAGGCCTTTAGGCAGATCCGTCAGTGAGGAGCGTACTACTCAAAATTCTACAGTTGATCTGGAAGGCACCCTGGACAATTCTCCTAAGCCACAAGTCGAGCCAATACAACTCCAGGATTTTCTGGAAATGACCAATATCCACTTTATGGAACTGACTACAACAAAAAGAAGGCATACGTTGGCGCCCTCTAACGAAGAGAAAAAGGCTGCATTCAAGACTGAAGAGGAGTCTGCAAAAGGCACAAGCTTGGAAGATTGCGTGGCTGCTGGGTTCTGCACAGTACCAATGCTCGAGTTATACCAACATGTATGTTAGTTCAGATTTATTTCACCTTTACCGAGCTAACCTTTCTTTTAGTCGTGCCGTGAATTGAAATCCTATATCTCAGAAGGTCGACGGATCATTCGCTCGATCGAAACGGAAACTTACTCAGATAATCCGCCTCTGTTCCAAGAATATGTGACAGCACCACCCGATATCCGGTTGCTGATGGATAACCAGTTCCGTAACGTAAAAACTCATGCGCGCCTTTTAAGCAAGTCCATGTGGTACGAATGGCGAATGAAACTCTTGGAGGGCCTTAAGGAAGGACTCGACCGTCACGTTGAGGAGATGCAGAATGACGAAGCAATTTTATCGAAGAAAGAGCGCCTATTAGATCGAGTGGTTCCCGCGTTGGTTGAAAAGCATGCAAAGCTTGAAACTGAAGCACGTTGTCTGCGGCAAACAGTTGATGAACTGGAAAGCTGCGATAAGGAAGAACTTCGTCAAGCACGCGAACGATTGGCGGCTCTGGATGCGGAAATTGCCGCAAAGAGAAAGTCTCTGGATCAGTCACAAGCAGAGCTTGAAAACAAGAATGATTTCATCCAAACGGGAGCGGAGTTAAAGAATGAACTTTTGTTCCAGATACGTGAAGCGGAGCGAATTACGGAAGAGTGTCGAGGTTGGAGTGTGAAGGAGGTTAAAGCCCTAAAAGGTAAGCACGCTATTTTAGCCATGATGTCATATTCGTTTTGTTTTGCCCTAATACATCCCAGCTTCTGTGCATGCCATTGAACGTCAAACCGGTTGGAGCATCTTGTCTGCTTCATTGAAATCGAACTCCAAGCATGGCCCATCATTAAAAATGCGATATCGCGACGAACTACAGGTTGAATTTTATCCAGGCGCTTTCAACATCACACTGGAGCCGACATCGTCCTGCCGACGCTCGTCTCAACCAAGCAAAAACCTTCCTGTAAACTTCAGCTATTCACCCAGCTTAATTCAAGGAGCTCGGCATGCAAGTAATGGACTGTCTCATGAAAAGGCCCTGATTCTCCACGCACTCCGTATGCGCTCTTCCCAAATATCACAATCATCCCTTACCCCGAGACAGTTCCTTTCCGGTATCTCACGGGCATGGGATAGGGCCATTAACCTAGGGAACGAAATACGTGCACTTGGATACTGCGGAATTACAAGTGCAAAGGCGCCAGAAGTGAACCCCTCTGAGCCAACCTTACTAGTAATCCGGTGTATGGTTCTCGGCTGGTCCTCCGCAAATGCTGAAGCGGAGACTTTTCGAGATAAGGTGAAGGGGAAATCGCCCCCAGTATCAGAGAACAGCGGCAGGGTGAAGGCTAGAGTTGACATTGATTTCACAGTGAAGCCGAGACCAGCCAATAGTGGTACAGATATCCCTGACATGGATATTGAGGTTCACACAGATGTCTCTGCTAGCATTGTCTATGGCTCTATTAGCCCGTACGAGGGTAATGCGGGGGAGGTGCAAATTGGCGATATGCTAGGCAAGATAATTCAGCAGAAGAATACCCCTGGAGTTGAATTGGGGGGTGGTGTGTGGCGGGATGCTGTGAGGAGGTTTGAAAGGAGAGTGTTCGCGTAAGAAATGAAGTTGGTTATTCCTTTTGTTAACTGTTCCTTTGCCCCCTTCTTCCCTCCAGAGTGAGGAAGAATCTGATGTGTTTCACGAATTTATGAGTCGAGATGTTAGCTACCCTTTTATTTGTTTCCTTTGTTCTTTCTGTAATACCATCTTGAAGACCGCTATGTTCAACGGCTGCATGGACTCTGGTGATTTGCTGGTTTTCGCTCCGTGCGTTCTCTTTTACTGCTTTCTTTTGGCTGTCCTTAATTTCCTGTGCTTCCTTCCCTGCGAGAAGATGCTGCCTTCGTTTTATCTACTCATACAGTTTGCTAGGGATTTTGATGTATCTATGTTACATCGCAAGAACTCGTCCCAGTAGAATTACAGCGGTTCGATTCTCAATAGAATAATTGGTTTCACAGGTGATTCTTCGCTATATCCATTGCGATTGCGGGTTTGCTATGTATAATGAACACAACAGTCAATAAATTGGTCATTCTAAGCAGTGCATCAACCTGCATGCATCAAAATACAGTGCACTATAGGGCACCTGTGCAGTTGAGAAAAGCATTTGATACTCCTCTCTCCTTTGGTTATTTCGCCACTGTAATTTGGCCCTGATCTTTGTGACAGCGGATCCGGTACTTGTATCGTTTATTTAATATCCCTTAACCTCAGATTGGTTGCATCACAATTGCCAATTTTAGAAACGGACGAATCAAAAAAGAAATCGTAACATAAGATCGATGTCCGTTGTTGTCCAACCCACCATGAGGGGGCTGATAATTGGGACGGCAATATGGATATTGTTAACCTATCTATACGTTCAGCCAAACGTGAGAATCGAAGAGCCCTGCAAACTGGACCAAAGCCAGGCGGTACGCAGCCGTGCACGCTCCAGCGGGAAGTTCTCTGGCGGCCCTATGTAGTTTCTTTTAGTGCGTTGGGTAGTCGATGTTTCGGAGTCTACCTGTTGATACCGTGCCGACCATGCAACCCGTGCCGTTTGTGACGTAGATTAGGCCTAACTGGGTGCTTTTCAAGTAGTAAACTTGTTTGAATAGCGTCGACTGGGAGGCTGAGGGCTAGTTATTTGCCATTATGCCTAGCAAACAGAGACGAAGATGACGACAAAGCTATTTCCAGTCGAAAAGGATGCGTTGTTTTCTGTCCTGTCGGGTTCTGGCACCGCTTGCTGGGCCGTTTGTGTAAGATGGGTCCTGTAGCCGTTGTCGAACAAAATCCAAGGGGCATTTGGAGACCCCCACAGCAGGTATGGAACCATTTCCAATAGAGTCTCTGGAATTAGGGAGGCGAAAAAAAAAAAAAATGAAACACCCCCGAATATATTGCTAGAAACCAATATATGGATATCCATCCAAATATATTTGCAAATATTCCACCAATAAGGGGGCCGATTGCTAATGGTAACATTTGGCCCGCCTGGAAGAATAAGCCCGTATACCCACCTCGTTCTTCTCTCGTGGTAATATCCCCTAGGACGCCAGTGCCAACAACTATTGAACTTGCCCCTCCTATGCTCTGAACGTACAGTAACACCATAACCTGGGGGTAGGTACTGGTTTGTACTAGACTAACACACGCACAGGTAAATATAAGGAAACTCAGCATATATATGTGATTCGACGTGCCTCAGAATCCGAAAAGGCACCCCAAATGAATGGTATAACTGCTTGGAAGAGGGGGTATGCTGTCACGGAAAAGTTGATCAGGTCTGTGGATACCGACAGATCAGTTGCAATAGTTGGAATGACGGGGGAAACAGATGTTGTCGCAAATCCCGAGAAGGGTCGCCGCGATTGAGACAATGCACACGACAAGGGCTTTCATTAAAGGGAAGAGTGCACAATAAATCAAGGAAGATGGCGGTTGACCATTTGAGATCCAGTCATGGCCGATTAGCAAAATACAGAACAAGAGAGAAACTAGGTATGAAAGCTCTATGGTTGGAAAGGCAATAAAGTTATATACCAAGCGCTGGGGGGCAGCTATTTATCACCAAATAGCCAAGGATCAAATTGGCTTTGGGCATACGATTTGGGCAGTTAGTTATACGCATGGCGTAAACAAAACTATTCACCTAGTCATCCATAACGGGAGCGAGGGAGGTGGAATAGAACTTATGCGAGATCCATTCCCTCCTATTCTCACAGCCTTGGTACGATATTACATCTCCTGACCCTGATTCCCTACTTAGGTGGCATTCAGCAACAATATGTCGGCAGGCATAGTTAACGGTGCTAGTGAGCCAGCAATTGAGAGGTTTCATCGTAGTTACTCGTCCTAAGACGAGCCAAACGGGCCCCAGCAAATGGGAAGAAAATAGAATCGTTCCGGAGACGTAATCCATATTCCCCAGCATGTGAGGTTTATGTGTTTGACTGAAATGTTACCTTTCAACCAATACCAAACTCCGTACTCCCTGAGCAGCCCCTGGACGTGGGTGATGGAATATTTGAGCATTCGATTACCTAGTTCCCCCGCAGGTCGCGTTATTTCAGAGAGAGCAGCCACACCACCACGATGGGGAAAATATTTTCAAGTGTGTTGTCGGCTTCAGATTAAACCAACCCCATTCAAAATTTTGTTTTCTAATTATAAAAAAGGAAAAAAGAAAGAAAAAGAAAAGAAAAGAAAAAGCCAATGAAGGACACTCTAGTATCATGCACTCCGACAGTTCAGTCAACAGGTCATAACTTATCATGCTCAAGGTCGTGGCCTGGTGTGGAGGGACGAAACTGGTAGCTAGTCCCTTTGACAGCCGCGTTAGCGTGATAGGTCATGGATGTCAAATAAGATCAAGTTCCGAACCCAGTTTACAGCGAGATGGAAGACAAAAAGAAATTCAATATTCAAGGGATATAATCCATTTGGTAGGATTGATCTCTTGTTTCAGAAATAACGGTGCACGAGCGGTGCGGGCATTGTGATATCAGAAATATGGAGCCCATCAAAATAAATACTCTCGTTATTCGTCGTTTCGAAACTAAGAGGTGAATTCTGTGTGGCCTCAAACTGCTTGAATAAATACTTTTTTTTTTTTTTTTTTTTTTTTTTTTTTTTCATGTAGTAATAGAGGTGCACTAGGTCGAGAGCGCTGCCTGCAGTCCGTGCAAACGAGCACTACATATCAAGACAGCTAAGATGGGTCACGACGTCGTGATGGACCTCGGAACCCTCGAAGGTAGTCCTGGCGGTGGCGGTCAAATCCAGGCTTAGGGTTGATGCGTCTCGAGCCCTTCAGGGAAGCTTGAAAACACGCCATGAGGCGTCCAGCTAGCCAAAGACGCTTCGGTCTATCTCGGATGATATGAAGAGAACGATCCTGACTTAGTTGGCATAAATCTCTGAAAGTAATGCATCAGCACATCATCTCAGAGGCGCAGAGGAGTCGTGGCGGAAACGCACCGACCTTGGCCCTATGTAACGTTGTTCGGAAAGCCAAGGAAGGGACAGCACGCCGGGTTGTTCGCTCCACAATATGATGGAGAGCATTGGCTGGATGGAGACCAGTAATCTGAACTCCCAACAATCTTGCGAGTCTGAAAGCTAAAGAAAGGGTGGTGTTAACTTTCTTTTTGATGTTGATTTATCATGTGACATTTTAACCACAGAAACATCGTGAGTTTTCAAGGCAGTGAACTAAGAGGCGCGGATAATTGTATCAATTTATGGATGCGCAAGCCAAGGATTTGAAACCTGTATGCATACTGTGGTTTCAGCATGTGCAGCCTTTTTCCATGATAGTGAAATGATAAGCATAAAGTAATATTTTTATTCCTATCACTTGGACTGCCAGGCCGTCAAAGTCACAAGGGTGAGTAGGCGTCCACGCCGAATAAAACAACACAACATGAAGATATAGATCGAGAGGGACATTATCAACTACAAATTCATTTTATATATGCCACCGGAGACACCGTAGTAATATATCATCAATAGAGCTTTATATTCTGTCCTGTCCGGGGAAACAGGTCGTATCGCTCACGCATCATGTTTAATAAGGAAGCCGAAAAGAGAGAGAAAAAAAAAAAATAAGGTATTCAGTCCCCAGATCAGTTCGATTGGCATATATCAGGATTGGCAAAGTGTATGAAAACATGAAAAACATTTGGTATATTTTCGATTTAGGACCCATTTAAGGCGGCGAGACACGAGTAGAGCACATGATTGTTGATAATATCACGCTGTAACTGGGTGCCTCTCACGTTGTCTTCGCTCGCCGTTTGTTTCTAGGACTTCTTCATCACCATATTCGTCATCGTCATCGCCTGCATGGTGTTTATAGTGAGGATGCTGTTGAGCAGGGACCCAAGACTCGCGGTCACCCTTGAAGGGTGGATCCTGGATTGCCAGGTCCACACCCCCACTGCGAGTCTTGGAAATGTTCTTCCGGCGACGTTGGGACAGGGTGCGTGAACGGGTAGATAGTTTGGAGTTCACTGCTGCATTGGAGGAGACCCAATGCGTTAATGCATCTTCACAATCTTGAATGATTGCCCTGCTAGCATCGTACCCATCGTACGCGTTCCGAGTCTCCCCAGGGGTGACTGGAGTGTCGTCGATAAGCTCAAGAAGATGCTTTCCGTACCCAGCAATAATAGCCAGTTTTTCGCAGTGTTCACGGAGGGCATCAAATTGGTAACTAAATGCTGCCTTTATCTTTTCTCGCGTGATGTTGGATAGCTGTGCCTCTGCAACAAGTGATTCTGCCTCAGCACGAACCAATTCCTGTTCCAATACCACGATTCGAGGGGAACTGGGCTCTTTGTATTTCAGATGGGCTATCTGATCGGTTATTTTTTGCTTCCCTGGGACAAAAAGGGTAGTTAGTATCCACAAGCAGAATGACGTAATGTTAATTAACAGATGAACGTACGATCTCTGCTTGGCTGCACAGATGCCTCGATGTTCCGAATGCTTTTCATAGTAACCCGATACTGGTCGTATCGATCAACATAATAGTCCTCTAGTTCGCCAATTTCATATATTAATACTCCTAGCTTATCGGTGACATCCGAAACGTCATCATCGCACGCCTCTCCCCAATAGGAGAGTTGTTGCTATTGGTGTCTCAGCAGGTGCTCAGTCACGTAACGGATAAGGTCGATGCAACGTACTGCAACCTCCATTCTCTCTCTCCCAACTAACTCCATGCTACGCATGACATTTTTCTCCATTTTTACCAGCTGAGAAAGCTTTTTAGATAGTTCGGGACCAAAAGCTCCTGCTGTTTGTTTTCGGAAAGCATGTCCTACACGGGGCAAGAGATTAGTATCATCTCGATATGCCCTCGAGGAGTTCAATTTGATGAAAGCACTAGTTTCTCCCGCAAGTACAGGGAAATTGTGCGCATTACGGCCATGCCCAAGCAACAATTATAGAGATATCTACCCACCAAAGCTAATCTTTCCAAACAGTCGGTTGGTCTTGGTGGTGGAAGGGGGAGGAGGCGGGTTCTCGAGTTCTGAAGCTGTGGGTGCGCGCGACTGGCGCATGGAATAAGTTCGATGCATCATGAAAAAGAGTTAAGGTAGACTGTCAAACGAGACGCATGCGTGAGTATGGCAATGCTTTTTGAAGTGAACGAAGATATTGATGGCTGTCAACATCCAACTTCGCCTTCTAGACTGGTTGGTTGGTTTGACATGCAAGCTTTTTGAGACAGAACTTGAGGTCCAACTTTTAGCAGATAGCAGTACCTAGGGCTGTTCAGGCAAATATCTGGGACAGTCGATCGCATGAGACAGAAGCACAGGATGTATGTATATATGGGGAGCTACAATGTCAGCAATTCTGCTGGGAGCATCCCGTTGGAATCGAGTTCGCTCGTCCGCTCCCAGACGGAGGACCTTCGAGATGTGACGTCGACGGAGATCGCTTAGCTTGCCTAAACAAGCTTAGAGCTCGTCACCGGACAGCCTCGTTCGTAGCTCTCCACACCTGAAATAAGGCAGAGGGGGGCGGGGGAACCCTTCGAAGAAGAAGAATAGAACAGGCTGAAAAACTTGGAAATAATAAATTCGCCACAGTATCTACGCGATATTGCTTAACTAGTTGTTTGCCATCTAGAATTTTTTAAGGTTTTCGTGACATATTTTTCAAAAAGTCTATAGGCAAAGCCCATAATACGCCCATCCAAAGGAGTCCAACCCAATGACGAATTTCCCGGGCAAAAAGGAGTCGTGTGATGAAAACACTGTATGCAAGTAGAAAAGTGTTAATGACCCGGTCTTTGCCAATACCATATGATGGTCATTAAACACATATCATATATCTATGCTATAACTGAGATATGAATCAAAGCTTATAAATCCAAAGGATTTGAACCCAACAATAGGCAAAATTTAAATAAAAGGTATGGGGTATGAAGTATATGCACATAAATTGGATCACTCAATTCGTCGTAACATGCCTCCGTTACTTCCTTTCAGTCTTCCGCTTCTTTGTGGGCTTGCGAGCTGCCCCCTCACTTCCGTTCCCATCAGACCTATCACCATCATCAAGGGTATTAGATCTTTCATCTGCTACCTTTTTCCTCCGTGTGCCCTTTGCGGCAGAATCTGGAACGTCAGCTTGGAGCCCTTCTCCATTCGCTACAGTTATGTCTCCGCCCTGCTGCTTTGTTTTAGCCTGATATCTTAACCGGCTAAAAGCCTTTTCCATCCTACTTTTCCTGTCCGGGCGTCGATGGGGAGCAAATGCACCTGCTCCCTGCGGCCCTTGGAAAAAGTTGGTGATATTTGATTGAGTACCCTCCTGCTCCCTGCGGTTCATGTCGCGAATGACAGGGACGAGTACCTCATCCGTCCTCTCTTGGGTCCATCCAACTGTAGCCATCAGGAATTGACGAAGAGCATTAAGGTCAGGTACACCCCACTGGAAGGCCGAGGGATCTGAGTCTACCTCGGGTTCAAGATATGCAGTATCGACTCGGCTGTCGGGAAATCCTGGTGGGAGGAATAGCTTCGTGGCATTCTTTTTAAATTTTTTCCGAAAAGCAGAGTGGCTGTCATCTGGGAGTTGGGCACCCATTTGTACTTGAGACCACCAATCCCTAAAATCTTCCAAGGTCGAAAACTCAGTGAGGATTTCAAGGGCCGTAACAGGACCAACACCAGGTATTCCTTCAGTATAGTCACTTCCCAACAGGTGAGCAAACTGGATAAGTTTTCTGCGATCTAGATCATATTCCTTTTCGAGGTCACTGTTGAGATAGCATTCGACAAATTTGACCTGGTTGAACATATTTTTGTAAACGCGAGTACCACCAAAAAGGAAAATATCGCTATCATCAGTGACAACTCCATCAACTAAACCTAATGATACTAGCTCTGCGCATTGGGCCTCCGCTTCCATCGGCGCTGTGATGTATGGCAACCCGAAAAGCCTGAGCAATTCCTGACACTCTGACACCATAATATGTGAGACTTCATCGGCATCTCGCCGGTCTTTCTTCTGCTGAGACCGTAGCTGCTTCAATTCTTGTTCATAATCGAACGCATTTTCAGCTTGGCTTTTAAAGTTCAGAGTCGATGCAAACCGCGCATGCTCCTCAGCTTCGGTTTGTAGTTGATGCATTAATTCTTCGTCCTCAAAATCCAAATAATCGTCTCCAGCATCACTGTAAGGTGTTGAATCGTCTTGTTGGTCCGTCTCATTTGAGGTTTTGTAAATGTCAGCTATTTGCTCTGGCAGTTCAGAAGTCTGAGGAATTTCAACATCCTCAAAATCTGTGTTTGGAGACAGCGTTGGTGCTGGACCTGTTGCCTCAGAATTGGATAGCTCGTTAGCCCTGCCTTTTTCAGAAATATTATCCTCTTTAACACTAGGTTCCCACTCATAGATTTCCTCAACGCCGCTCCCGGGAGAACCTAGTTCATCCACCGTTTGGTCAACCGTGTCTTTTGCATCTATGTTGCCAGCCGGTCTACTTTCAGACTTCGTGACTAGAGGAATAGAAGGCCCAGTGGAGGCCGTAGGGGAACTTCTGGAATTTGATTGCTTCGGTAAAGCAGCAAGTTTGGACTTTTCTATATCTCCGGTCAGGTCCTCTACATCGATTATCTCCCTCTCATGGGGTAGATATTCATCAACGTCAATTAATACCTCCACAGGGTTCCTTTTGCTAAGGGTATTTTCACGCATTGAAGGCTCAGCCCTTTCGAATTGGTCGTCAGCTTCTTGATTTATGAAAACATTCTTACCCAGTTTTGCACCAAACCATGGAGGAAGTGGTTGGGATGGTCTTTGATCCTTTAACGAGGGTTTCTCAAAGCCATTGGCATCATGGCCCGTTTTGGAGGCAGGGGCGGATGCTGTAGGTTTGCCAATTTTTAAGGGCTCAAAGGGAAGTGGTCCACCGAAAGGATTGAGCATTGGGGGAAGAGAATTTGTAGAAGGTTTCTTCATATCTGATTTAGATAATGCCGCAAAGAAATTCATATCATCATCATCAGTTATATCTGAAGCATTGTCCCTATCGACGACATCCTTATCGGGTTCTTTATTCGTAGGAGATAATGAAGACGTGTTTAATTTGAAGGCATCATCCTCAGGTGTTTCTAATGACATTTGGATTGCACGATGAAGAGCTTCGCCATAAGAATCTTCATGAAATCCCGTATCCTCAAAAAGCGCATTGAGATTTTTTTCAACTTGACTAGCCCCCTCCGGAACAAACAGAGAGTCGTCATCTGTCCCTTGATCAGCCGGTTTTGAGGGACGAGGAGTCTGCTTTAGAGATTCATAAACTGACTGTCTCATTTCTGCATTTTCCCTGGCGTGCTCATTAATTGACCGATCGAAAACGCCGTTCTCAAATACAGGCAATTTGGGGAGTCTGTTAAGCCCTTCAATGGGAACATCTTCAAATTCCTCATCCTCATCTTCCAATATATTGTGATCATCGAGCAGTGTTTGTTTACCGTATTCCTCAACATCAATCGGTTTGCTGCGCTGGCCTTCGTCCTTGTTCCCCAAGACTCCCAGCGCCCAGCCTCCTTCCGCTCCGTTACTTTTCACCAGCACATACTCCTTACCCCTCTCCCCAGCAATTCTCGCGCTTTTCCCTATTTCATATAAGGAGTCGTCATCGGTCATACCACTGAGATGCATTAATCTCTGTGTAAGATCATTTCGTTCTTTTACACGCTCAATTTGGAATCTCGAGAAGGCCATCCGATCTGGGAACATGCTGTCCAGTTGGTTTTTAGAATAACCCATTCGAAGTCTACTTCTTAGCCTTGCCGCATTCAAGATGTTATAGCGATCGCTCGCAGGTAGGCTCAGGAAAAATGGGCTGTTAAAGTCTATCTTTGAAAAGTCGTACAGGTTGACATCTTCCCCTGAATGGAATTGACGGGCATATTCTTCGAGCTCTTCTTGCGACATAATGCGTGGATCGTTTGGAGCACCCATTTCAGCGAGAGAAACATCAAGTTCGGGAAGGTGATAAGCATCCTGTTTGCGGAATTGTCTGTTTTTCCGTCTCTCTTTAGGTGTCATATTCAGCTCATCCACATAAACTAAATCCTTCGGAAGCTCCTCTTCAGGCTCGGTGTTGTTGGGTCCCGATTGCCTTTGTCTCTCTGCCTCTTCTTCAGCCTTTCTCTGTATTTGGACAGCGAGAAGTTTTCCAGCTGTTCTGGCAGCATCTTCTGTCCTTCCCTCTCTCCTCTTTTTTCGAGCCGTAATCGTCTGTCGTTTCAGGGCTGGCGCCCCTCCATCGAATACGAACACCGGTTTGATGCCGAAATAAAGCAACTTGCATATTCGCCGGAAAAAGCCAACAATATGAGCGTTTCGAAGAGCATTTCCTTCCTTATCTCGCACTGCTTTCAGAAACTGGTAGATCCATATTGACGCGTCAACAGCGAGCCGCTTCCGATTCAGTGTTTCCAGTTTGATCGGCCTAGCGCAGGGCTTGACCACTGTCCAGAGGCCAGTAACACCCATGATGAGCGCACCGCCGACTCTGAACTAGTTCAAAGTAAAGTGGCATAGATGCCTGGTACATAATTCGCATTTCGCATGTAGCGGGAAGGATAATGCGAACGCGGCCGTCGTCTCAATGATTTCGTCGACACGATATTACATGGTTTGCCGTTGCGTAACGCCATCTTTAAACACGAACGGCGCAAAGTCATGTGACTAGCTTATCCAGATTTGGCTAGATAGATTTGACTAATGGACAATTTCAGCCCCAGAAATTATTTCGATGTCCAGTGTGATGATAACAACTATCTCGCGGGACGAAGAATGGATTCACCATCCATGGTTTTAAGTCACTCGGAATAAGGATTGCTAATTATCATTTGCCATTTGCATTGTGAAATATCGATGTCATATGCATTTGAGGTTCGTAACATTCATGAAATTGCTTGGTACGGCTTTTGTACTCACTTTTTTTCCAGCATCTCGACGTCTGTCTACCAATAACGGCGGTTCGAGTGCTCGATGCCCCCAATGGTCGACTTATTATAAGTGGCCATGGACCATATCTGCAAGTGGTTGATGACGCAACCGGCATACTTCTGGATCGGATTCAAATATTTCAGAGAAATAATGTCCATGGCATCCAGCTTTCCAATTTGAAACCACCAAAGCCTGCTTTCTATGCTTTTTTTGTCTGGGGTGGCCAATCCTTTCGACTATGCAGTTTAGAAATAGATCGCCCTGAGAGCGTCTCACTTTCATTTCTGAGTCCCGAGTGTGCTGCGCCTGACTGGATTCTTGATGCAAGTTTTCATCAACCAGGAAACGATGATCCAAACTCTGTTATACTGAGTAGCGCATGCTTAATAACAGCGCATAATGTTCTATTTGGATTAAATTTTGAAAATGGACTTGCAAAGTATCACGCAAAACTTCAACTGTACGAGATAGGGACAGGACTAAAGTCCGTACTATATTCTGCGGATGTCTCATGGCTATCACCAAAGCAAGTTCTAGTTGCTGCAGGTACAGTCTTCGGGGAAATAGTTGTTTGGTCATGTCTCCTATCCACAGATTCGAGGATGTCTCCCTTTGAGAGCGCTTCTGTCGTTATTCATCACCTTTTCATTGGACATGAAGGTTCCATTTTTGGAGTGGATATATCTCCAGAAATCAGATGGCCGAATGATGTTCAAGCGCGAAGATTTTTGGCAAGCTGCAGCGATGACCGAACAATACGAATTTGGGATATTTCTGACTGTGTTTATATGGAGAACGGGACAAATGAAGATGTGTCTGTTAGACCAGCGACTCGGTCAACCGGTTTTGGAGATATTTTCCGAGATGATATGGAGGTGGATCCCAAAGCTTGCATTGCGAAAGCATGGGGTCATGCTTCCAGAATTTGGAGCGCTTGTTTTGTAGATATGGCTATATCAGAGAAAACAGCTTCATTCATGCTCGTGTCTCGCGGTGAGGATGCAACCTGCCAAGTTTGGGAGTTGAACTTGCGACGTAGTTCCGCTACGGAGGATCACCAAGTGTCATACAAAAATGCAGTACTTAAAAATACATCCATCCACGCCTATCATGCGGGGAAGAATATTTGGTCTATGGCAGTCCATGTATCATCGGATTCGACTGCTACTATTTATTCTGGAGGTGCTGACGGGAGTATAATATCATTCGGCATCAACACCAGAGAAGCCTCATCCCACTACCGGACAAACACAGAAACATATGATATATATGACCTTTCGCTACGTCAGTCTGCTTCGCTTGGGTCACCAGTTGGTACTCCAACGCAGAAACTAAAATCGGGTGACAAGCTACATCGGTATGCATTTGTTTCAGGGACTTGCATTGTCGCTCTGTCTTCCCGCGGGAAATTGATTATGGCTTTTATTTCAGCACCGGAAACCGAACAGGCTCATACTGCAGATCAGGGGGAAACTTCCCCTGTGTCCTGGGAAACTATTGCATCTTTGGACACCCCCGGATCTCAGTTTGCTCTTGCTGGCCGCTCAGATCTAGGGATAGCGATTATAGGTGACGTGAAAGGTACTATTTGGTGGTATAGGCATGACAACAGAGATCTCCTTACGTTCACCCAGCTTGAAAAGAAAATAACAGGTATAATATTTGCGAGTTCGGAGCCTAAGTGTGGTTCCAACATGGGACCCATCACATCAGTTGCCTTTGTCACAATATCTGTGGAAATACCAAACTCAAATTTATTCTTGATTAGCGACAAAAATTCACCTCAGGACTTTAATAAAATTGCACTAGAATTGCCCTCCACCTTTCTGACAACCAGTGCCGTCCTCATCGAACACAAGTCCCATTTAATATTAGGGTCCAAAACCGGCCATTTAGCTATATTCGACCTTGAAAGGCCTACCAAATTTCATTCCATTGTTCCTGTTCTCATTGTCTTCAATATTCACGCAAGAGACACTGTCACATCAATTACTCAGTTACAACAACCCATTGACAGCGGAAACTTAATTCTTACCACTGGGAGGGATGGTTATTATTGCATTCATGCTCTTGTCAGAACTGGAAATGCGAATACCCCCCTGACCCTACAAACTATTCACAGAATGGCACCTCCTTTTGGACCATATGTTGACGGTGCCTATTTTGACAAAACTACTGGCGACTTGATACTCTTCGGGTTTAAGAGCACGGATTTCATCATATGGAATGAATCGATTCAAGCTGAACGAGCCTCAATAGAATGCGGGGGTGCTCATCGGATTTGGGCATACAACTCGTATCATGCAGATGAACAACACGAGATTTTCGCGTGGACTAAGGCATCTAGTTTTAACTTATTTAGGAAAAAAGCTGTACTACACCATGGCATCAAGCTTGGTAACCACGGGCGGGAAATTAAAGTTGCAGCTATTTCCGGGGCTCCATTCGAGTTTGAAGGAACTAGGCATAGAATTATTGCTACGGGGGGCGAGGATACTCTGATTCGTATCTCTATTCTTGATGAGGCGAATGTGGCGAAGCCGACTGGCGCATTCCGTTGTCTTCGAAATTTGAAAAAGCACAACGCAGGTATCCAGCATCTTCAATGGTCACCATGCGGAAAGATTTTGTTCAGCAGTGCGGGGGCCGAAGAATTCTATGTTTGGAGACTTCGGCCCATTCCCGGCTTCGGTCTTGGGACCATATGTGAGGGGGAATGTCCCAAGGCAACAGCAGATTCAGACCTTCGGATCACTAGCTTTGATTTGATGAAAGTTGTCAACGGGGAAGAAAGTGAGGACTCTTTCGTTCTCTGTTTAGCATATTCCAACTCGACATTAAAGGTGAGCATGTCACTTCTGTGATTTATAGGTGTCAACTAACCAAAAAAGATTTCCCATTACATCTCTACCGATGACGGAGGCACTTTCTGCGTTCTCGCCAACGGTAAATACACGACAAACTGCCTTACTATAATAAAATTTTGCAGATCTGGTTCGGGGCTTTCATTGATTACTGCGTCTACAGACGGGCATATTGCAACTTGGAACCTATCCGAAAGCCTAGGTGATTTATTTTTTCTCGATGGCAATTGTCTGAAACCGCTGTCACGTAACCAACCTTCTTCCACCCCGCATACAATAAGCTGGCAACACCGGCACTGCATCCACCAAAGTAGCATCAAAGCCATGGAGGTATCGACCCTATTGCAGGGAGAGTATCTGATAGTGGCTGGTGGAGACGATAATTCCATCTCGATTTCTCGTCTGAGTATCGGTGGGGGTATAAACTCCGATACCGCTACTAATTCATTCTCCACAGTTTCATTGCCTCAAGCACATGCATCTGCTGTCACTGCCATATCTATCCTGGAACATCGAAGTCGACCGGTAGCATCGAATGGACGTTGCTGTTCAGTATTTAAGTTTCTTGTCGTATCATCTGGAAACGATCAACGACTCAAGCTCTGGTGGGTGGAAATAGATTCTACGAAAATGGAAAAGAATCAAATTTCAATATCTCTACTACAAGATGTTTACACTGCGGTAGCAGATATGTCATCTATCGTCACCTTCAGAGAACAGATCGACGAGATAGAGGCGGATGAGTGCGGAACTTTGAAAGATAGAATTTTGCTATGCGGAGTTGGCACAGATCTGTGGTCTTTGGATAAGCAATAACCTGTTGATGCTGTGATGGATCCAATATTAGAACTATAAAAAATCAGTTTATAGTGCTCTTCCTTCATATTTACCTGTCACCCTCGGGTGCGGACACCCGTTATCTATTGTCAACGCTCAAATAGATTCTGAGATATCTTATATCCTACTCTCTCCTTCACATCTATGGAAAAGATATAGAGAAACGAAAAGAAGAAAAGGAAAAAGGTCAACTCAACAACTTACCCCGCCATCTCCTAATACCAATGCACTTAAGAAACTGCACTTAAGAAACTGCAGAAGACCAGAATCTTTCGGCTTCAGTCCCTGCCGGGCTGGCAGAACGATCGCTTCCCCTTCTCCAACTGTACTCTTTTCCTCCCTTTGCTCCACTCGCTCCACTCTCTCCTCTCTCCTCTCTTCGTCCCACTCTTCCTCTGCCTCACAGGACTCCTCCTCCCATGGTTCCTCCGCCGATTCCTCCTTCTCCTCCTTTACTTGGTCAATACTGACACCTGCTACCCGCTGTAGTAATTCGTCAAACCACAGTTGGTCTCTACCTAATTCTTGGGATGCACTGGTTCTTGAAGGTTCAACAATACGCGGGTCCGAGGGATCCAATATCCACGAGTCCCTATAGAACTCTTCCGGCCAATCCAGGGTATGATTCTGAGACCGGATGTTTCGGACGTCGAAGAGGACGTTACATGGTTCCATAGCAGTAACTGCGACTGTCTTGGTGCTTTTACTATTGGTGGTGGTGGAGGAGGTATCTACACCATCGGTACCTTTGTTATGGCTATGGTCCTGTCTGTTCATAGGCGGACCAAGAGAATGGAGCATCTCGATGATTTTCGCGATCTGCGCGCCAGATATCAAAGGGAGACCACTCAATGAGGCGCTTTTCGGTGCGGTCGCCACGAACGTGTTTGGTAACGGGGCGAAATTGGGTAAAAATATAAGGGCGGTTGCTGGAGGCATCTGTAAGTTCTATCTGTTCTTCATTGTTATGGGTGAGATATCCGATCGAGATTCCACCTGTTTTTTTGATTGATTCTATGATCCAGGAGAACGATTCTATAACCGCACCGTCCCCCAAGAGGAGATGGTAGTTTTTCTTGTTTGTGAGTTCACAATTGGTATGTCTGTACCCTGCCAACGCATCGTCGTAGGGGCAAAATCGATGATAGAAAGCATAGTCATCCTCGATAGCATCTGTACTGTTCATGTACTCCTCTTCATCTTTGAAGCCGAGACGTTGGTACGTGACAGTATACCTTCCAGTTTCTGGATCAACGATCTGATCTAAGGAAATATTGGGGACCTCAGCAAGATGTCTGCCATATATACCAAAAGGGCCCCTATATTTCAGAGCGTTCCATAGCAGATTGGCTGCGGAATGGAGGCACATGGAGTCCAGTTTACAAAGGAGTTGCCAGTAAAATCTCTTGTGTTTAAGTAAAATTACCATGTCTTTTGCATCTGTGAGCTTCGAGGTTGGCAACAAATCGGTCATGCAATTCAAGTCCACAAACTTGCCTACTTTCTAAACCCAACCCAGGGTTTCAAGCCCCTCTTTCGTAATTTTCATATTAACGTCCCGCGTTGCTTTGGGGCAAACCAATTGAGTCAGTGAAGTGCTCTTGGTCGGCATCCACATCAACCGCTGGCTGCGTTCCGCTGAAGCACAGTTCGGATCCTGACAGAACATAGAAGCATCGCCATTCATAATCGCCACAGCCCACAGACAAGCACTGTAACTGAGGCCTGGGCGTCTAAGCAATTCCTGGTGAATCCTCCCGGGCCAGTCGCAGCAGTTCCCCACGAGCGCAACCTTGTCCGAAGCTATTAAGCAGCCTTTGTTCTCAAGTATACTGACTCCCTGCATCATATTGAGACTTTTGCCTCCCCTAGTCCGAACCGCATCAAATGGAAACGCGTCTGCATCTCGGAACTTTTGATAGGCCGCCTCGAGTCTGATTTTGAGGCTCTTGTCTCGGCTGTCGAGCGCATCCAGAACGACCGGCATCGCCATGTTGAACATATCGGTATCGATGCACATCTCCCCAGGAATTCTTGTCGACAACTCAGGCGTACACATTGTCCACAGCTCACTGCTGCCGCTCCTGGATTCCGCGCATAGCCTTTCTTGTCTGATCCAAGCTCTCGTACCATGTGTCCTCCGTGACGAGTTCCAGAATATGACACAATGCATCCGCTCCATTTATTAACTCCTCTACATTTGGCCGATAGACCCATTGAATGACACCATTCGTGAAATCTATAGAACGCGGCGGTCTTTCCAAAGCCTTCATCACGACAGCAGCGTGCTCGTCCGGCAGGCGTAAATCCAGCAACGAAAGAACCGTCTGAGCTCGAGCATACATGCAGTCCATACCTTCGATAGCTATTGCTTTCTCTATTGGATCATGCTGCTCGATGCATTCTTGATCAATCCATATGTATTTGAGACCGTTATCCTGGGCGTGCCTAATTGCTCTTCTAAGAATCCTGCATGGTGCTCTTGATTCTCTGACAGTCCCATCCAACTGCTCAATCATCACCGGCATGTTACTGCACAAATCTGACATGAAATCAGATTTGCCAGTTGATCGGAACGACTCTCTCTGCGACCAGCAGTATGATTCTGCCAGATATTCTCCATACTCAGGTTGGACCAATGATAAAGTGAGCCTAGCAGATTGTGAATGGCTGTAGGTGAAATTTTCCAGGAGTGTGTAGCAACGACCGCGTTTTTCACGTCCGCAAGGGGGAGAGGTGGATGGTGATGCGCAGCGCGGGGAATCGAAATATTTCCTGACAGCGAAGAATTTGGGGCGGCTCGCTGAGTCAAAAGAACGATTATGGATATTTTCTACAATCTCAAGGATCTGACTCTTGAGGTCTTGTGGGTTCGGGAATATTTCACCAAATGCTTTGGCCCCATCCAATTCCGTTGTGGTTTAACATCGACAATTTTAACGAAATATGAATTGGGCTAAGGGAAATATAAAATTGCTGCAAGAGCAAAAAAAAGAGGAAAAAAAAAAAAATCTACCGCTAAGATGGATATTTATACATGTTGATATGTGGCGCAGAGTCCACGACGCATCGCCAGGGCATATCCTCTCAGCCAAATCATGATCCTTCAACATTGACGTGAACAATGACCACCAACACGGTTTGCCAGCAACTCAAAGAATTGATCCCTTTTATTTTGCCCAGATGTCGTCAAGTCCTCCCACATCTATGACACTGGATTTTATTCTGCGCACTCTTGACACATGATTATTTAATAAAATCCGACTCTTCCACTAGTTATCACCAGTGCATCAGGTGGGGCAGTCTTAAGAACTGGGAAATATTCATTCATGTAGTTATGTCAATGGGGTCTGCGGCAACGCTCAGATGACACATCAAATATCACAGCTTCTCTTACTAGTGATACCGTCTTTCCCGCTTCACGCTTCGCAAAATTATGGCATCGATGGCTAGCGACCTTTACGAACCATCTACCCTGTGACCTGAGTTCATTTTGAAGGGTTTCCCTAAACAACCTCAATTAAGTATACGGGGAGAGGTATTTGCCTGGCTAGACTCAGGCAAATTCAGCCGTGTCCAGATCTATATAAAGAAGATGAATTCCATCTTCCGACCTATCTCACCTTCACGTATGAGGGAAAACTCAAGCATGAACTAGCAATACATTTACAGCACAAGGTGGCAACTCAATCGCCCACCAAAACTCTCACAGTGTACTCTTTCTGCCGCGCCGTACAATACAACATAATCCTCCCCACCACCTCCCTCCCACTCAGCGTGCATATCTGCCACTGCGCGATCTGCTGCTACACACATGGCATACAATGCGTCTTCCACGCCCCGCTCCCAGCAGGCATTACCCCGCAATGGGTCGCGCCCTCTGGCCCTCACGCACCGACCAGCTACAAACACTGCAGTGCGGCTCTAGGTGAGCGATTATTCTGCAGCACCTGCGGGTGCCAGATCGGCGACCTCAAGTCTTCCAAGGAACAACCGATGAAATGGAACAAGACCCGAACGAGAAATAGGGTCGTTGGACCGTGTCCACCTCCACCATCTTCATCGACCACAGCCCAGCCAATTTCCAAATCGGCATATCTTCACCAGCTCCACGCAGGCGGGCGCAGGAATACGCCAACTCCTCCTACGCATTGGCGGGCGTGATATGAAATTCTACCCGGCCGACTTTATTCTAATACCACCAAATCTTACCCTCCCCCGGTCCCCTCCCCCAAAACACCACCAGCACCGCTACCCGAATTCAGCGCAGATGGTACACAAGGAGCGCCTGCGCACCGAATGCCATTGCGGCGGCGTCTCCTTCACCTTCCCACGTCCGACACAGGAAGTCCTAGATGACGCCACGCTGAGCAAATTCATCTAACCCACCGATCCGCGCAAATGGATGGCTGTTCTGGACGTATGCGACGATTGTCGACTAGTGGGCGGCACGCATTTAATCGCGTGGACATTTGGGCCGCTATCACTGTTGGAGCCAGCTATAGGACCCGATTTGAGCCTTGGCACAGCGGAGTCATTTTTGTGTCGTCGGGAGGAGTGAGGAGGGCGTTTTGCGGGACATGTGGGCGACTGTATCTTTTTGGACTGTATCTTTTTGGACTGAGGAAAGGAGGGCGGTGGTTGATATTGTGATGGGGTTGGATAGGGCGCCGGGAGGGGTTTTTTTGCGGAGTCCTGAGTGACGTGGAGAAGTGGGAGGTGGGGGGAGAAGTATGACAGGGGATTTTACGCGGGCGGTAGTTTGAGAAGTGGGGGGATAGAAAGGGACGGAAAACCGGTGGTTTTAAAAATCGAGGGATGAAAACGGACATACCTGGTGATATTGGTGGGGGTGGTTATGTTATATGTATGTTTATATGGTTGGAGTGGGGACGGAAAACGGGTTAATATTGTCAAGAAACTGGGAGGAATTGTTGTGCCACAAACTTGTCACCAGTTTTGCAAGTATATCTCCCTCCTTCCCTTGGGAGGAAGAAAAGTTATCAGATATATGCACTCTTGGGGCTTTGTCTGGGGCAAAATCTGTTGAATGTTGCGAATTTGACAAATGGCTTGGGAGATGGTAGTTAATCGCACAGCACTTAGTCAATAACTATATAAATGTCCCGACTCGATTCAAAAATTTTCACATTTGATCAATTCAATTTCCTCCGGGATGAGATCAGGGAGTAACAAATAAAACTCCAAAATGGCCAGATTGCAGGCGCTGTGGATATTCATCTTCTCCAACTTGACGCTCTAACACCAAGGAGTCGTCATCGTTTGCGAAACGAGCCACAACAAAAGGCGGAAAAGGGCGGAACAGTTGGAGATGTGCAACAACAACAACAACAACAACAACAACAACAACAACAACAACAGCTTCGTTCAACTTTGATCTTTCCCCCAATCATTCTTGTTATTTTAACCCCTCCTCTTCGGCCGATCTTCTAAATCAATCACCCGTCTGGTTCCACTATGACGTCAGTTGACATCGATGGTGATGGAGAAGTGTGGCGCGGGTTGCGCAACGTTGAACATGGAAACGCTTGGTGACAAGTGGCTTGTGGCTTGGTTGTCCACGAATCCCAAACCATCGAGTTCAGCTGGATTTGAATCTGATATCCCCACATGCATACGACATTCCTAGAACCGGAGTATATCGTAAAAGACAATCTGTACGTTATGAGTTGATGAGAGTGAGGACTCATAGTTGTTTGCGGTAGTTGCGCTGAACTACGTGGATCAATTAAAAGTCATATATAATGGACTGCGTCCGCCATAGTTAGTGGGTCGAGCGTCGTGTTGCGTTCATCCCCGCCGCACGGAGAATTGCTGAATATTTTCCTTTATTTCCCTTTGCCAAGTCATCATTTTTCATCATTTTCATCATTTTATTTCCGCGGATCACACCGTTTTAGATTCTCGGGAATCAATCGCATTTTGCATTTCCCATTCGTTGCGCAGGGGCGGCGTTGGCGCGGATAAGAAGAGCAAGAGGAGTATAGCCGGTTCTGTTTCGAGGGAAATACATATACGCTCCATGCCTCCGCAAACAGAACGAAAGAGGCATAATTAGGTACAATTCCAAGGTAATTAAGTCCCGACGGGGTATGTAAATATCCGGTCTAGCCTGTTTCTCATCGGTAGATGCTGCGCATCGCTTGTAGTGGACCGGGGCGTTTATTTATGAGAGCTTTTCCGACCATCAGCGGACGATCACGTTAGTTTTATACAAAGCTCCGAAAAATCATCCATGACTCTCAAAATGATCATAAGAAATAAAGAAAAGGCTCTAAAAATAGCAGTCAGCACTATGTGCTTCCCACACTCCCGCGTGTCATTCTGACATGCACGATTTGATCTGTGCATTTTCATCATGGCATCTGGAGCTGTCTGCTCATCAGTATGCTGAAAAGAAATCAAGGACACAAAACACGAGCTGCTCTTAGTTAACTTGTACGAAGTGGACTCCGTATTGTTGTAATTTACTGGAGTTTCAACTCTCCAACCATCACGACATGATCTATGGAGAAGATTCACAACCTTAGTCAATGTCATCGACTGTCCGCCATGGGAGTAATCATTAATCATCACAAAGCAAGATGATAGATAGCCATGGATGGCCCGGGTAGTTTAAGAAGCAGTGTCGAGTTATCCATCCAGGGACGAGAAGAACATTAGCGCGAACCAACCTTGGAATCCGTGGAACAGTTAGTTGGACCTCTTCCTCTCCCTCTCACCTACGACAAGGTGACGATGGAACGATGATGCTCGAGTCCAAACCCAATTTGATACGATGTTGTCTTCCAATCTGCCCGTCCACACTAAGACCGATGGGGGACGACAAACAGTCCTCCATGATTGTGGGGCTTGACTGGGGGACCCATGAGCGCTTGAAACCAAGGCAGTTGGGTGGGGTGCCTTGTCATGATGGTTGTAACAGGCTCGGTTAACCGAGTTAGACTCTAGCAGGCTAGCACGGCGGGGTGGAGGTGCAGAGTGTGTGGTTATTTTTAAATGGAGATGTGGTTGTTGGATCGGATTATATACCGTTTTATGGGGAGTCGAAACTTGAGTGATGGATGAACTGATCTATCTATCTATCTGTGAAAATTGGGCATGTTTGGGCTTTATTGGGCGATAACATGAGCTTGCAGGTCCTGTCGACTCCGAAATACCTTCTGTCGAATCGAGGTTTTTATTATCTACTCATTTTATTTTTATTTTTATTTATTTTTGTTATTAGTTATTCGTCGCCCTGTGAACTCGGCCTGTGCTAAGTAAGTTCCGAGCAGGTCTGGGGAAGATATCAGGAGCCTGGTGATGTGATTGTGACATTTTGTAGGAAAAGACGAAATAGAGGGGGACAGAAGTTGATCTCGGTGGTTTCATGCTCCCGTACGGAAAATGTAGGCTGGAATTGATCGTGTTCTGGGAGCAGCAGCAGCAGCACCAAGGAGCACCCAGGGATGGTAGCGTTGGAACACCCCAGACAACAAGCGATGCCCCGGCGATTGGTAGGAAGGCGGATGGAGATGAGTATATTCCGAAATGCTCAGTGTTTCTCCCCGCTACTAGAATCCAATCCCCGGGTCCCTCCAGCAGCAATTAGCTTGAATGAATCAATGCCTTATCATATAGCGGCCATCTCCCGCCCAACTCCTCCAACCGCACGGAGGAACCAAGTGACCATGCGTAGAAGAATGAATGTTGGAAGGGAAATAAAAGCCCCAAAATCGATCACGCATTGCATCTCAATCCTCCAAGCGGCGGCCAATCCCCATCCCGCATTATTTTGCACGGTTTCAAACCACGTTTTAAACATCCACAGCCACAACAAGACCGAGCGGCCGTCAGTCTGCAACACACGCGAGCGGAGGGAGGAAGCCCGAAGTTACAGGCGCCAGACACAGGAAGTTAGCTAGTCGGCTCAGCTCAGCTCAGCTCAACCTCACCTCACCTCAACTTCTCACTGGACACCTGCCAAGGGCTCTGTGTCAGCCCAAAGGCGGGTCGAGGGGGGCTGACGCGGCTTGGCCGAGAGTTTGGTAGGAAGCTAAATAAATGGCCTGCTTGGGGGGAGAAATGCTGCGGGAATATAAATAGACACACACACCTGGTGGGAGACGAGATGGGAACAGCCTGGGGCGAAAACATGGGACCGATATATAGCTCAGCATCTTCGCCCTGGTTGTTTTGCAGCCGAGGAAATTCCTTATTTGTATGTTGCTTGTTATTCCTCTTCCCTTGTTTGCATTTGACGGCGAATATCTAAAACTCTTACCAGCACTCGTTTACCTAACCTCTGTTGCTTGCTCTTCTCATCAGTCTCCCTCGTTACTCATCGGAACATCCGCTCTCCCTCTCTCATCGCTGTCATCGCCTGCTCTCTCGCTCTCTCGTGGTTTAGTCCACTTAAAAGTTATCTCGTTTCAGCCCCAGCCCAATTCCTCCGCTTCCCTGAATTAAGTAAAACCACTCGCTTTCGCCATCCCCGGCAGACTCGCGATTCTGCTCTCACACTCTCTCCTCAGCCACAACAACAACTACAACAACTACAACAACAACAACAGCAACAACAACAACAACAACAACAACAACAACAACAACAACAACGTCGATAATCACCCCTCGATTGTGCTTCACACACACACACACACACCGTCACCATGGGCAAAAGCGGGAGAATAGCCTGCATCTTCACCCCTTACCTCCTCACAATCGCCTCCCTCATCTGCCTGATCGTAGTCGGCCTGGGCCTCACAAGATCATCCGCACCGCTAAACAGCATCTATTTCGCTCGAGTGAGTTAATCCCACCAACACCCCGTCGATACCAAATACCTCATCTTTTTCTATAGTTTCTATAGTTTCTATCTAACATAGACCTCCTCCATACACATAGGTCGACCTGAAAGACCTAAACCTCGACTCAGCTGGCATATCCAAAGAGCTCCTCCCCTTCTTCTTAGACATGCAGCAAGCCGACAGTAGTGGTAAAATCGACGATTTCTACCTCATCGGCCTCTGGAACCACTGTTCCGGCCAGTACATGAACGGCGAATACAAGATCCGGGAATGCACAAAGCCCAGGACAAAGTACTCGTTCGACCCCGTTGCGGTGTGGGGGCTGCAGAACGGCAACAGGAGCCTTGCTCAGTTCTTGCCTGCTGGGCTCGATAGGGGCCTGAGCACGTACAGGCAGCTTGCTAAATGGATGTTTGCTGCGTTTACTGTTGCGCTCGTCGCGACGTGCGCGGAGTTGCTGTTCGGCATTGCAGCCGTCTTCAGCCGGTGGGGCAGTTTTGTCGTCACGATCGTCTCTCTTGTACGTTGAATCATCCCCCATCTGCCATGATTATCCCGCAGCAGAATCTCAACCCTCAACTTCTCCTCTCCCACCGCTCCATCACGATCGCTAACACTATACCCCTCACCAGATCTCCTCCTTCTTCGTAGTCGCCGCTGCAATAACCGCAACAGGCGTCTACGCCACGCTGGTAGGCGTCGTCAACGTCTCGCTGAGACCCTACAACGTCAGATCCAACCTGGGCAAAAAGATGTACACCGTCCTCTGGATCGGCGTCGTCTTCTCCGTCGCCAGCGGCCTCTTCTGGTTGCTAAGCGTCTGCTGCTGCTCCGGTCGCTCACCGTACAGCCACAGCAAGGATCGCCGTAATAAACACACCACCGTTGAGAAGACTCCGTACACCTATGAGCGTGTTGCGAGCCCGTATGGCGGTGCTGCTGCGCCGGCCTTTGCCGGTGGCAATGCCAATCCCAATGGGCGGGATATGGCCTATGAGCCGTTTAGGCATGGCATGCGCTCATAGAGGAAGTTGGTATATCATGTTGTTGTATGTGTATATTTCATTTCCTCGGTTATCCGACCGACTGGAAGGCAAAACAATACAGGGTGAAATATTGGCGATGTAAGGAAATCTGTTCCGCCATCTTCTGGGTTCAATCTGGTATAAACGTGGCAACGAGGTGTTTTGCCCGAGGATATTTCAAAAAATAAAAATAAAAATAAAAATAAAAATGTTTGAATGCCCTTTTTCTAGGGGTGTTTTTTTTTTTTTTTTTCTGTTACATTTTCCTTTTTTTCCCCCTCTCCTTCCATTGCTTTACGTCTTTTCTATATATATTTACGTCTGTTTTGTGCATTTTCTTCTGTGATATCCTTCAGGTTTAGAGAAGACGAACTGAAGAGCGGGGAGAGGGATGTTAACCACTGATAGACAGCAATGCGCAATGCCATATAACTCTCTCTTTCATCCATTCTCATGTCATTTCCCTTCCAATCCTGCTTCACGCCATCACCCTCTCTATCCCTTAATCTCACGCAACCCACCAATGGGTTTGATTGCGAACCCCCCATATTCCCAGGCCAAGGGATACCTAGGTAACGAAGAACTGTCCTCTTTTCTTTACAACGACACTTTCCTCCATCCCAATCCCAAAACCCAATACTCCCCCATCGAATCAATTACCTAGGTTCTCTGTCCCGTAGTCGCAAATTCGGGATTTTTTAAAAGACAGAACGTGGCTGTGAAGATAGTTTTAATACCCAATCCCGTGCCCGTCGAAGCACTCTCAAGGCCGCTGCCTTTAATGTATGTTCGATCTTCAATATTTTGTGTTCTTCTTGCTCCAGTTCGAGGACATGTGGTTAATACCTATATTCATATCCTTTCGCTGTGCCTATATCGGCTATATCTTCGACATATTATAAACCTCACCTCCTCTGCTTTGTTTCGCTTCTATACACTGAAGAACTTGATATGTAATTATACGGTTGAGCTTTTTCTTTCGAAACTCCCCCCCCCAACGACCTGGACTCTGGGTAAGGCTAAAGATTGGCTATGGTCAGATACAATGACGAGCAAGCCTCGCCCAGGTCAAATATACTTGACAAGCGCGGTGCCAATCATCGATGCGTTAAAATAGTCCCTGGGGGGGGGGGGGGGGGAAGGGAACAAGTTCCTTCAAGTTCAACAACACTTCCTCGCAAAATATGGCGAACAAAGAGTAATTTTATAAAAGTACACCAACCGAGCAAGAGCGCAATACGAATAATTTGTGTCGTGCTCTACAGCGTATCTATATCAGTGATTATCATGGAGTATAAGACGTGTAGAGATTGGATTGGTTAAAATATTCTTTCTCATTATCTGCAACAGTTCATAAATTCAAACCATGAAGCGTTCTATATCTGCTTGTTTAGTCTCGAAAACCCAACCGTCGGATATTTTACGCCGGAGGGAAGTGATGTCACAGGCCGGAAGAGCACTTGGTGTGGTTGCGGTAGCCAAAGAAACAACTGGGGCGGGAAATGGTGCTCTATGTCGTGTTGCCACTTGATAAACATTCTATGGGTAGACAATATTGCTACATTGTCGTATCATTAATTCTCCCTGACGGGAAAAGAAGAGAAAGAGGACCAGAAACAGGATCCACAATGTGATCACTACACCTCTGCGGATGAGTAAGATAAAATTTAAGGTTAAGGTCTCTGTAAAAGAAACTAAGTGGTTCTCATCTATCGCGATGGACAGACAACTCCCGAGTCACCACCGGCAGGAGTGCAGAAATCCTGCAAATGCATGAAACCTAGTAAACATGAAAATTTCCGTTGAAGCTTAAACTTGGAAAACCGTAGCATAATCTGCGCATCATCATAATTCATGTTCTCTTAGGTTTCTTTCCATTTATTAGTTTCTTTCCCCTTCACATATTTAGCATATATTCCCACGCTCCATTTTGAAGATCGGCTCCTTGGAGCCTTTCGGGTATTCGGGTATTTGTCAAATGTCAAAACTTCCATCCCATAGAGTCCATGCCCCGTGGATTCCCTAAGGGAGGCGGACGAACAACTCCATTTTCGTCCACGGGAATCGGGTCCGCTTTTGATCCATCCTGCCGAAACCCATAATCTGCTTGGAGCTTTGCAACATTGCGGGCGTACATCTTGAATGGGGTATTGCGATCTCTGTACCAGGGCTGAGGGTCATCTGAATCCTGGCCGTTTCCTTGCTGCGTAGTAGTGCTATGGTACAATTTCCAGAGAGGGTCTCGAGGGGAGTCAGGCGGTGGACGGTAGAAGGGTTGTGAGCGTCGAGGCCGAAGTGGAGGCGTAATGATTTTGTCTCGGCTTCTAAGAATGCCCTCACTGTATTCTTTTGAGATATCACGATTTTGTAGTTTGTTGGTGATGCGGCGGTGACGGCGACTACCTTCAATGGTATATCCATGGAGGCTGGATTTAGAGGAGGAGCTTTCGAGGATATAGCTATCGTCGTCAGAGCTCGTCTCGAAAGACATGCTGCGGGCCTGCTCCGCAGCTACCAGCGCCACGGCCGTACGATGGGATCCGTCCACCGATTCAGCTATTTCATCTGACGTATTGACTTCATCGTCAGTGTCAATACCAGTACTTGCAAAATCAATTTCATTTGTGGAGTTGAAAAGAGGCCATGGTGCGTCTGTATCACCAAGTTCCACGCTGGCAGATTCGTGGGCTTCTAGTTCGTCACTTGATTCGGCAAGGTCTTCTGTCATCAAAACAATCTCGGGTTGGTGCAATAGTTCACCATGGTTTGATTCGGGAATGGTGGGTTCCCGCTCTTTTCTCTCCTCGTCCGACGACAATATTTTGGGATCTTCCGGGTCAAAGGCAGCTAGAGATCCTTGTTCATTTTCCAAGGGGATGAAATTGGAAAGCCGTCGACTGGAATTCCGCTTGGACGAGGCTTCGCTAGTAAAGTCCTCGCCATCTCGCTCCGCCAGGACAAACTCGAGATCGTGGGAAGTAAGAATGCGCTTGCGACATCGTAGTTTGCTGACTTCTTGTTGGAGGTAATTTTCGAACGAACCAAGACAGGAAGACTGGCTGAGATCGTTGTGCTGGAGGATATAACTCGGATATTGTACCACAAAATCGTCCCAGAGAAATGAACGTGTCAAAATATTTTGATCGCGCAGGCCCTGTAACATATGACATGCCTGCCTGAAATGATTAATGTTGCCGGCATAGTTAGAATATGCCTTTTTGAACCGATAATACACTGCCTCTGTTTTCGACCGTAATTCATCATTGTCAAAATAGGATTCGCGACACTCTAAAGCAACCGTTCGATCCTTTACTACCATTTCCTCCCCTGAAAAGGTGCTAGATGTGCATGTCTGTGACTTGAAAATCCTTGGTTGTTTAGGTGAATTGTTGTTCCATGGGGAGAGTTCACTTCTTTTTCGCTTTCCTATCATAACCGAGGTGGAGTTTATTTCCAGCTGAGATCCACGAACATCAATTGGACTAGAAACAGCAGCCCCAGATGCATGAACAATGATTGCTGGATCCATATATTCCGCCTGGGAGTTTTGCGTATATTCCTCTAAATCGGACATCAGTTGTTTTCCTGCCATCGGCTCTTCATCCTCATAATCCACAGGGTCACGTTCTAAAGGATTAGATACCTTCGTGGAAGTCGACGCGGAGGATTCAACGGGGCTTGGACTTCGTGCATGTTCTCTGCTTGCGGACGGAGAGGTCTCAGGATGAATATTTAGACGTTGGGTATCGTAAGTTGAAGGAATGAGCGGATCTGAGGACACTTTCTTATAATATTTTTGACTAAAGCACTGGCCATCAGCTTGGAGTGGCTCACTGTTAACTTCAATATCCCGTTCTCTCTCCTCGATATATGGAGATTGTTCAACCTCCATGAGAAAAGCTTCGTTGGATTGGGGCAATGAAAGCCAGGAGGCCGAGATCTCATCCTCCTCTTGATCTTCGTCAACTTGGCCTGTATTTCCTAAACCTTTGGGAGCTGCCGTTTCCATCTCAGAACTATCATCTTCGTCCTCTACGGGTGTGGCTGGATCGCAGACCCGTGGTTTCTGGGAATTAGGAGGTATTTCAGGTTGAGATGCTAGCGATTTCTCAATTTGACTAGCCACAGCTTCCGCATTGCTAGAAATAGCATCATCAGGGGAGGCTGACCGACGTAGGCGACTATCTCCAATGCTCGGTAATCTCTGAAGTGGACTACTATCTTGCGGTACAAGGTGAGAAGAGGAAGGTAGTGGTGTTGGATCCCATTCCGGATCCAGCATTTCGGTTGCTTGTGACGACTTCAGAATGTTAAACCCGCTATCTTCGTCCTCATTTATGGGCGGAGGAGCCGCGTCATCACTAATTTTCTCCATGGACAACCTGCGACGCTGCATCTCATTCCATTCTTGTAAGAGATATATCGGGACATGTGCCTGTGGGGGACGCTTTCCCGGTTCCGCAGGGACCCAAGACTCTTGTTGCTCTATAAGCTCTTCCTGGTCCTTGTGAATTGTAACATCCCGGCGTCGGATCCGCGCCATATGCCTCCATGGGTCATTTCGACGGGTCTGCACGCTTGTCTTTTGGTTATTGTCCAGCTCCGTGGAGATCTTAGTGGTTATCCGTGGTTCTTCTTGCGGTATATGCGAATCTGAACCGTTCAGTATTTGCTGGTGACCCTTTCGAACCATAAGATCGCTCCATTTCGGCGGCGGCATATCTTCACCCGCAGATATTTGAGTGCTGGCTACTTCTGCTTTATGATCATCATATACCACCTTATCCCTTTCAAGGCTTCGGGATATACTTGGGGATCTAGCGTCGGATGTGTATCTGTGAGTGCTCGAGGCCAAGCTGGGAGGTCGTGTTAATAGATCCACGCAAGCATCACTACTGCGGTCTAATTTCTCGTTACTTGAGGCCTCCTTCTCGGTTGACGGGATCAGCTGGGTCGCAAAACCTAACTGATCTATTTCCAAGTCTAGTTCGCTGGAGGGTGGCCTAGGAGGTTTTGTGTTCCTTCTAGGTGACTCCGTAGCTGAAGGGACCTTGTTATGGTTCCCTTGTCTTTTTTTCGGCATGAGAGCAGAAAGTAGTGATGTAGCATCCGTCTTAGGTGCAGAACCCACCCCAACAAGGGTGACTGCTTGGAGATTTTCGATCCGCCGACCGTTTGAAATCTGCGACTGAAACTGCTGTTGGGAAACTGGAGACACGCTTGCGGCACAAGATTGGGACCTCAGAGACGATGCTTCTGAATCTGAATCCAAACCACCGTCAACATCCATTTCATGCCCATCGCCATTCGGGGGAGCAACACCATTCTGTTGGCCTTTGTGCTGTCGGCAAAAGTCCCTGAGCAAACTAGATATCGTTGGTTGCCCCAATATGTCTACGGGGGTACCAAAAACACTAGCTCCCTCGCATCCCTCCACCTGAAAATCCAGAACATACAAGGCAATCTGAGGTGTCTGAGCTCTAACATAGCTGATAACAACCTCGAATTCAACAATCTTTAATATCGCTCCCTTTGTACCACTGTTAAGTGGTTTCCTTGCTTTAATTTGATATCTCTGCGTAGATTCTTTGGAGAAGATTCCCAAGATGGTGGTGAGAGAGTCGGATAAAGTACCCTGAATTGACTGTGAAGGTGGAGACCACTATAAAGGAAAAATGTTAGCCTGACTTAAAGCCAGAGCCGATTTATCTATGCGAATCGGAAAACGCACCTGAGCCACTTGCACAATTTTCCGATCCTTCACACGAACTCGAACTTTGTTATCATCTTCCACCAGTTGCAATGGGTTCCGCAATGGCAATTTGTCCGGCAGCGGCTGTCCCAGGCACAAACACAACGCAGCTTCAACAACCAGCACAATCCACGGTCTCAGGGTCTCCATGCTGGAGTTCTTGAGGGGTGGAGGGTCATAATCCTCAACACCTGCCCCTTCATAGCTTTGCAAAAGGGGTTGAAAACGCTCAAATTGGCCAAATAACGGTCCAACAACGCGCACTTTATAGAGGATTTAAATGTGCATTCACTCTTTGTGTTTGCGGCCGTTTCATCGCTTTAGGGTCGTTTGCGTTGGATATTCCCAATCCGGCTAGATCGTATTTCCCTGGAGATCTCCAGTCACGCGTTCTCACCGCCTTGGCAGAATTGTCTTAGTCAGCAAAATTTCCATGACTCAGCAACAGTTAGCCACGCTCATTGGCCTCAATTGTTCAACGTGAGCTTGGATTGTGACGTCCATCGATGATCGCCCTAATTAACGGGCTGTTGACTATGATAGAATCCCCCACCTCGAGTTTAGCACTGCACTTTTGCAGCCCCTCTGTGTCCTTCATATCGTTGCGACCCATCCGTTCTACTAGGGTCAGCGCTCTTTTCTCACTGTGGAAATCTAGCAGGATGAAATAACCCTCTTACCGTATTTTGGGGCCAACACTAGGAGCCATGTCTGGCGATATGATACTTGCCTAACCAGGCTGAAACGTCTTTATGATTGTTCATCCAGTAGGACTCAGATACTTGAAACGGACGTGTTAAGTATGGATATGGCTTCTCAGAAATCGCAGGGAAACTCAAGCCCCTCCGCGTCCTCAATATTCCTACCTCTTGGTCGACGATCGAGACGGGGTTCCCTTGCCTCTATTAGTTCACAGGCAGAAAGAGAACATAGAAATGAAGCCTTGGACCAGATACACAATGCTGCCTGTCAGTCAGATGAACTCACTGTGTTCTATGAACTTACCAGTCCGCCTACTACTTCATCAGCAACGGACAGCAAGAGCATAGTGGGAGAATTGCAAGGCGGCCTGAGCGGGCTTTACAGTCGCTTTCGAGCCTCAGTGGGCGGCGTTAAAGATATGGTTGGAGTTTCATCAAAATCATCAGAAACAACACCAGCAGAAACACCAGTGGTTAAAAGCCCTAACATCTCCTCGTTTCCCTCAAATGTACCGGGACATACCAGCGCAGGATCCAGCGATGTGCATCCCTCGCTTACCAACTCGGCTCATGCATCTAAATGTCAGTCTCCGGCTCTAGGGACTTTCCCTCCAATACAAGAAAGGACAACCAATCCCTCTATCGGGAGGTCGTCAAGGATTTCCTCCAAGGCTGGGAGTGTATCTTCCAAAGCATCTGGACACCCTGGTGGTCCGTTGAAGTCAGCGATTGCCCCTTTAACAAAAGCCACTTCAGGGATGGCAAGTCCCACAGTTACTGAAATCAATGTGAATGCCATGAAGGATATTCCATACCATAATAGGACCGGTTCAGGAAGCATCTCATCAAATATGCTACAGAATACCGATTCTGCAAGCTCGGAAAGACGGGATAGTTTCCAACCGACATCGATGAGCCAGTCACAGCAGGAGCTAGGACCTAGTCACCAGTCATATTCTCCTGTTTTGATGACATGGCATGCCCATAATGAATCATTTCGGGAAACCCGTTTGCCGGAGAACCCAGCCATGGAGCGTGCAGCGTCCCCGAAACTTCATTCTACAACTGCCGATCGAAATGGTCTTGCTGAACTCGATACATCATTCTCGAAATCTTCTTGGAGAGCCTCGATTGACGGAGCGCACGAGATACAGCCATCCCGTAGAGAAAGCCAACCGGGAAATTCCACCAAGTCCACCTCGAACGATCATTCCCCAACTCCAACCTCTATCACCACAAGCCTTTCCAAATTCTCAACAACAGATAGTTTGGCGAACGAAAGCAGAACACCGACGACTCTAGCGACTTCGTTAACCATGACGGACAAGGAACCGTCATCCGCGCACTCGTCGAAGACTCCCTTCAAGGATCGCCAGGCGAAAGCACCCCCCAAAGTTAATCAATCACGCTTACCTGGATTTGGACATTCACGGATGTCTTCCTCAGAGTCAAACGATCGCCAACGATCTGCGGCTATTCCTTCACATATTTCGTTCAGCACTGACTATGCCGATTCTGCTGCCCAGGCAAGAAGACGACCTCCCATCCAGTCACGACAAGAGGTGCCTCCTTTCCGAAGCAAGCTTCTCGGCAAGGAATTTTGGATGCGTGATGAGAATGCTAAGGACTGCTTCCATTGCGGAGAGCCGTTTTCTACTTTTCGAAGGAAACACCACTGTCGCACTTGTGGTCAGATTTTTGACGCAAAATGTACATCTCTAATACCAGGGACAGATTTTGGGCATTCTGGCTCGGTACGAGTATGTAGGCCTTGTGAAAGCAAGATTATGGCCTACCAGGACGATTCTTCGGACCTATCTGGAGATGACCTGAGCCCTATTGTGATTAATACTCGGAGCCCTGATGCAATCTCCAATGGGAATTTGTCTCGTTTGAGTGTAGATGACGATGCTTCTTCCGTCATGTCTCAATCGGTTGACCATGTGCTAAAAACCCCTACCATGGCAATTCCTGCCACTAGACGTACTGGCGATAGAAATAACCGTCGTTCTGCCATCCTGGAGTTCGATTCCGATCGGCAGCTTACGAGGCCTTCTTCCTCGAGATCACTGAAATCGTCAATCAATGGCAGACCACATTCTATTGGCCATAAGCGGCATCACTCGCGTCACCAATTCATTCGCAGCCTCAAGTCTTACCACGAAGACAGAGCTCCATTCCAGCGTCGCGCTGCAGAGGAGATGGGCAGGGAGTCTATTCTTCCAGCCTTTCACCGGGATAACATTATTGATCCGGATTTGGCCCAGTATTTGTCAGATGATGCTTCGAGTGGTGACGAACAATCAAATTTATTTGCTGTAGTTTCGGATGGAGGTCTCTCCAAGAGCGTTGGTGAGAGTGAGAAAGCATCTTTCAGCGGCCTTCTTGCAGCCGTAAGAAAGGGTCGTTCTCGTTTCGGTGACAAATCAGGAGTTCCAGGGTTGTATTCCACTCGTGATGGCGATGATACGAGCGTCAGCAGTTCCAGAGCACTTAATGTACCTCGTCCTACGCGGCGACGTAATTTGAGTGTTGCAAGTAGCATTCACCAACGCGTATCTCCGCGCACGCCAAAAGAGAGCCAGGCCATCCACTACTACCATGACCACACCTTACCATCGTTGTCAATGCAAGGTCTGCCAGCATCTGCAGGTTTCAAGATGACTAGAAGTTCATCAATGAGAGGCGCTGGTGCACCAGCTGTTGAACTCAACCGAGCCAGTTTAGACCATGTCCGCAAACTCCTCCGGCAGCTATTGAGAGATGCAAGTATCCCTCATTCTAACTCTTGGGAAACTGCTTTGTTGCCAATCCTTCTTAAAGCCACTGATGATGTAGAGCCAGACGTCCAGCAGGGTGACGCCATGGACATACGTCACTATGTGAAACTGAAAAAAATACCAGGTGGCCGCCCAGGTGATACAGCGTATGTTTCCGGCTTGGTTTTCACGAAGAATCTGGCGTTAAAGAGCATGCCTCGAAGTATTTCTCAGCCTAATATTCTCATTATCACCTTCCCTCTTGAATATGCACGCCAACAGCAGCATTTCATGAGTTTGGAACCTGTCATTCGTCAAGAGCGCGAATTTCTAGAAAATCTGGTCAATAGGATATCCTCCTTGAAACCTAACCTTCTTCTTGTGGAAAAGAATGTTTCCGGGCTCGCTCTTCAGTTACTAGAGAAAGCAAATATTGCTACTGCGTACAATGTTAAACCATCGGTAATTGAAGCTGTCTCGAGATGCACACGGACCAGAATTATCACCTCTATGGACAGACTAGCCACCAGCCCATCACACCCTGGCCAATGTGGCAGTTTCGACCTCAGAACATACGTTCATAAAAATCGCAAAAAGACCTACATGTATATATCTGGGTGTCCGAAAGAGTTAGGATGCACAATCGCCCTTCGCGGTGCAGAAAATGATCTTCTCATAAAAATCAAGCGGATTACGGAATTCATGGTCTACGTTGTTTACAATTTGAAGCTAGAAACTTGCCTCATGAGGGACGAATTCGTGAAAATACCCTCTTTGTCTCCCGAAACACCATCCACGAAGACCAGTGCGCCCTTTAGCATCACTGAGAGCACCGGACAGCCTAGAGATGCGAGCACCACAGTGCATGACCAAAATTCCCAACACAACTCCCAGTCGGTTGTTACTGACGGTGCAAAACCCTACGATGGTCCTCCCACCTCTCATAGTCCTGTTTCTGTTATTGACACCGTTACGAATGCATCTAATCGGGAATTTGAGCAGACCAGCAGTGCCACCACCGTGCCTGCCTTTTATGAGGATATGGTTGAGAAGCACCAAACAAAAATTCTCTCTGCATCTCCTTTCGTGCAGTTCATGCCACCTTACCTTCTCATGCGCGCTAGAGAACTGGAGCGGCAGCTTGCATATCTCAAACGGCTTCGCGATCAAGATTTTTCAACAGAGCAGTTGAGTGATGACAAAACGAGATCCCAAAAATTTGTCCTCATTACTCCTGAAATGATTCACGAGTCTCTTTCTGGCGCTTCAGCCAAGGTTAAGGAAGTTCTCCATGCGGTTCACGATGCAGAATATGACAGAGCACTGCATAACTACCAAACGCAGAAGAGACAATGGGAAACATACATATCTGGAAACGGTAATTTGTTCGATCCTTACTGCCATCAAAACATTGTCGTACTTTATAGCCTTGTTTGCACGACAACTTCCGTTCCCTGTTCTGGTCCAGATATATTTGCTCTTGGATTTTACAATGAGCAAGAATCAGATAGATTATTCGAAGCTGATTTTACCCTTGGTCAATATGTTGAGGAACTTTGCCTCAGCGCTAATGAGGTATGTGAGGTGAATGGTTGTGAAGAAAGGATGTTTAGCCATCATCGACAGTACGTACATGGCGAAGCTCAAGTCACTGTTATTGTTCAGCCGTACCCATCCAAGCTTCGTGGGT